AATTCCTTTCAAGGTACACCCCAAACATTGTCTTTGAGAAACTTTTCTGTCAGAAATTAGTTGTTTCTTCTTCCATGCTCTTTTTAAAATATTGATTGATTGATGTGGTACTAGGGCTTGAACCCAGAACTGCTCTACCACTGGGCTACATCTCCAGCCCTTTTTAAATTTTTTAATTTGAGATAGGATCTTGCTAAATTGCTCAAGCTAGCCTCAAACTTGAGATCCTCCTGCTTTAGCCTCCCAAGTTGCTGGGTTTACAGGTGTGTGCCACCCACACCTGGCTTCTCTTTCATGCTCTTATACCATTTTGCTTGGGTCCCATTAACACATTCATTTCATTCTATTAGTTTCTTTCTTTCTTCCTTGCCTTTCCTCTCTTCCCCGTCTTCCCTCCCTCCCTCCCTCCCTCCAGCCTGCCCGGCTGCCTCCCCGCACTCTTGTTTGGTACTGAGGATTTAACCCAGTGTTGCTTTACCACTGAGATACATTCCTGGCCCTTTTTATTTTTAATTTTGAGATAGCATCTCATTAAGTTGCTTAGGGCCTTGCTAAATTGCTGAGGCTTGTCTCAAACTTGCAATTCTCCTTTCTTAGCTTCCAGAGCTGCTAGGATTACAGGTGTGCACCACCATACCTGGCTGATTCTACTTATTTTCTATATTGTAAACCCTCCTTAATGATTTGTTGGAGTGCTTTAAATTTATTATGAAATATTTCACCCATATTCTTATTCATCTGTGAGTCCTCACAACAGTCCTTACATGTCATTGCAATTCAAATATTTATGGAATGACTAAAATAATGCAAAGGGTCTCATGAGCAATTAATTATTAGGGGAGTCTGTAACTTCTGAGAAAGTGGATCTTCTCATATTAGGAGATATTATAACTTGGAACCCAAGCAAAGAGATTCATGTTATAYGCCCTAGAGGCCACTGCTTCAGAAAAATATCTGTGGCTCACCCATATCCAGGTTGCAGCAGGAATCCTGATGTCAAGTCACTGGATTGTGTATCTGTGAGACATTTTTAGGGACTTATTAATACACAATTAGCAAATTTTCTCTAAGTTTATTTCATTCATTTTAACAAACACCTATGCCTACTATATGCTAGGCATTTACAGAAGCTAACTACCATATGTGGGATGGGTTTTCTCCTGCTCTGGTGGTTAATAGTAAAGTTAAAGGCCCAGGGTGGGGATGATTTTGATGACAAATAAATGGATACAGGGTTTATGAATGTTAATCCAACATAGGTCATTAAGAGATGATGATCCATATTTTCCCCTCCTTCAGTAAGAATACCTCAATACCCTGGATGGTCACACATACTACCTCTTTCTCTTTTACATGTGTAGGTAAACATGATTGGTTTACATGGTCTTTATCTTCAAATATTTTCTTTTGGGAAGTCAGACAAGCTTTACTTAGGAACTTTCTTGACCTTTCCCCACCCCCATTTAGATTCTCTTAATCATTCCTTCAAAGTGAATTTTTTCCTACCATATTTCTTTGATGTCAAACCTATGCAAGCAATTCTGGAAGGTGCTTGGGAATAGTAAGAGATAATTTTTTCCCCTTCTGAACTATATCCTAATTGCTATGAATTTTTATTGCCTTGTAACAAGTTTATTATTGACCAAGTCATATTTTAGATTGTAGTTAATACCATCATATTAAAACAGAGTGTAACCATGGTAGCAAACCAATAGCAATCAATCTTGTTTTTCTTTTTTCTTTCTTTTGGTATTGGGGACTTAATACAGTGACACTTTACCACTGAGCTACATTCCCAGCCTTTTAAATTTTTTTATTATTGGGGCTAAGGATGTGGCTCAAGCGGTAGAGCGCTCGCCTGGCATGCACGGGGTGCTTGGTTCGATCCTCAGCACCACATAAAAAATAAAGTAAATAAAGATGTTGTGTCCACCGAAAACTAAAACATAAATATTTAAAAAATTCTCTCTCTCTCTAAAAAAAAAATTATTATGAAACAGGGTGTCACTAAATTGCTGAGGCTGACCTTGAGTTTATGATCCTCCTGCCTCAGCCTCCTGAATCACTGGAATTACAGRCATGTATAACCTGACATCACCCTTATATTCTTGTTTGAACGGTCCTGACATCATTGACACTTTCTTTTAGAAATATTCTGTCACTTCTGTCACTGGGCATAGCTCAGAAGTAGAGTGTTTGCTAACATGAGCAAGGCATCACCAACAACACCGCAAAAAAAAAAAAAAAAAAAAAAAAAGAGGGGGGGGAATATTCTATCACAGTGGGAAAGGGGATAGATAGACCTCGAATTGAGTGGGCTTCACATCTGCTCATGCTTGGTACACAGTATGATGCTTCTAGAGTTGTTGTTTTAAATATTTTTTTAGATGTTGATGAACCTTTATTTTATTAATTTATATATATGCAGTGCTGAGAATCGAACCCAGTGCCTCATATATGCTAGGCAAGTGCTCTGCCTCTGAGCCACTACCCCAGCCCTAGTGTTGATTTTGTTATCATTGCTGTTGTTAACATCTTCGTAGTCATGATCACCCTCAGGTCCAGAGTCCTTATTCAGAAGAAATAGCTTGGTTTTCTCAGTTACGGATTAATAACAGCAACTCCTAAAAGATGAGGAAGAATATATCTGATTGAATGGTCTCCAGCTGTGATTTCCTTATTCTGAACTCAGGAACCATGATTAAAATTTAAGTCACAGGGCTGGGATTGTGGCTCAGCAGTAGAGCACTTGCCTAGCATGTGTGAGGCCCTGGGTTCGATCCTCAGCACCATGTAAAAATAAATAAAATAAAGATATTGGGTCCTACTACAACTAAAAAATAAATATTTAAAAGAAAAATTTAGGTCACAGTCTTTTTGATTGTATTTTAAATATGAGACACAGTCATACGATAGTAGTGAGTAGAAGGGGTACAGACCCACTAGATGTTGATTATTATTGCAAACCTAATAATTTAATGGAAAATTCAAAGTGATTTTTTTAAATTGGGAGTTGAACCCAGAGGTACTTTACTACTGAGCCACATCCCCAGCCCTTTTTATTTTGAGACAGGGTCTCACTAAGTTGCTTAGGGCCTTGCTAAATTGCTGAGATTGGCTTTGAATGCAATCTTCCTGCCTCAGCTTCCAGAGTCCCTATGATTACAGGCATGCGCCACTAGCCTAGTAAAAGTGATTCCTAAAGTACTGCTATTTTTAGTACTGGGAGTATGATGTTAAGACTTTATTTGCTTTGTTTTGTCCTGTTATATTAAAGTTACTTAGGATTGAGGGTATAGTGCAGTGGTAGAGCACTTGCCTAATATGAATGAGACCTGAGGTTTGGTCATCAGCATCTCAATAAATAAATAAAGTTACTTAAAAACATGCATGTGTTTACACACTGCTCTGTCCTTATTGATGACATTATGTGCCTATCATCATCATTACAGAAGAATAATACATACTCCTGGCATAGAGTGTAAACTGTTTAAATAGATGCACATTTGTGATTGTGCATAGTGGTAAAGATTGGAACTACCTGTTTCTATACATTTTAGCCTGAGCAAAGATTTTTACTTTGAAGGTTTTTAAGGATCAGAGGTATGAAATGTAAGAGGCACACTTCACAGTAATTAAGATTCTATTGCAGGAAGATTCTCAAACACAAATTTGATATTTGTGTTTCTCTTTTTATTTTTCCTTTACTACCCCAATTCTTAMCACTACCACCAGAAAAGGGAGGGAATCTGGAGATAAAATTACTATTCATCTCCAGGATGCTAATTACTCCAAGGAAGTAATACCAGATAGGTTTGTGCTATAAAGTGCTTTAAACTAAGGGAGAACTAGAGCATGAATGTAATGTAGTAAAATGCACTATGTTATATATAATTATACAAATTTAGGCAGAGTATTAGCAACCAAAAATGTGAATGCTAAAAGTCTTATTAGAGCATAAGGATATAAAATGTGCCATGAYAGAAGGGACCCATGTTTCAGCTAGTATGGCATTTTGACTCCAACAAAAGTGCTTAGAGAGTGAGCAGGTTCTGGTTGCCTGTCCTGATATCACTTGTGAAAAATTAGAGATGTTTCATATCAAATCCCAAATTTCCTTGAACATAATATAATTGTCATTCATCTAAACTTTTTAAAAATTATAACTTTTGACTAAATCCCTATTAGTGTTACAAATTTTATTTTACTGCCTTATATGATAATTAATTTCCTCTTACTGTCCAAGTTTAAAATAATTTTCAAGTTCCTGAGAGTATTTTGCAGTTCTCGTTTTTTATTCTGTGAATAATATATGTTTACTTATACCCTTTGTGATTCAATAGATGTCTATTTCTTCATCTTTATTTGGGAGCGGGTACCAGGGATTGAATCTAGGGGTGCTTAACCAGTTTTTTATTTTTGTTTTATTTTATTTTATTTTTTTGAGACAAGTTCTTGCTAAGTTACCTAGGACCTCACTTCTTCATCTTTTTTTTTTTTTTAATGAAACCTAGACCTTATTAGTCTTGTCTCATTGCACAGTGTACCTAAGGTGTCAACATTAATCATGTTCTGCAACGTCTGTATAATAAAAACATTCCACTATAACATAAACCTTTAACAGGTTTCTTTTAGCCCATTGTTATTCCTGGAAGATAGGTAGAACAAGTATATAGTTTCTTATTTTATGGCAAAGGAATTCCTTTAATTTTTTTAATTTTTAATTTTTAGTTGTAGTTGGACACAATACCTTTATTTTATTTATTTTTACATGGTGCTGAGGATTGAACTCAGGGCTTTTCACCTGCTAGGTGAGCACTCCATTGCTGAGCCACAATTCCAGCCCATCCGGTAGTTTTTAATTTTTTCATTCTCCTGTTAAGTTCATTGCAATTAATGTTTAGAATCATTTTTCCCCCCACGGAGCCAGGGTCTTACTCGATCTCCAACATCTCAATGTACTATCTTTCTGACCTTCTATTCCTCATACCTCCCTGCAGCCCTATGTGTCACTGGCTCATCAGATGGCACCACCTAGTCCAAGCAACAGCACCCCTAACAGCAGCAATGGGAGCAGTGGGAATGACCAGCTGAGCAAAACCAACTTGTACATCCGAGGATTGCAGCCAGGCACTACTGACCAGGACCTTGTCAAGCTGTGTCAACCGTAAGTTGTGGTATAAGTGGGTAGGCTCCAAGGGACAGTACAGATTTGGTGATACTGGCTTTTTGCTAGATTTTCTTATCCTGAAATACAGTATTGTGTTTCTACCCAATAGTCCCACGGTGTCTCAGMATCTCCTATTTTTTTAATTTTGAGACAGAATCTCACTAAGTTGTTGAGGCTGGCCTCAAAATTGCAAACCTCTACCTTAGCCTCCGAAGTCTCTGGGAGTACAAGCTGCACCACAGTGCTTGGCTCAGCATCTCCTCTTAAAAAGTTCTCTCTGTTGGGCTGGGGTTGTGGCCCAGTGGTAGAGCACTTGCCTAGCATATGAGGCACTGGGTTCGATTCTCAGCACCACAAATAAATAAAATAAAAGTACATTGATAACTAAAAAAAAAATTTTAATAAAAGTTCTCCCTGTTGCTGGTTTATAAAACATTTATGTATTTTTCTAAGGGAAGCCAGAATGGGGCTAGCCTTTGAAGCCAACTTTGTTTCCGGTATCTTCTCTGAACCGATAGGCTTAATGAAAATATTGCTATCTTTACACCTTGGCCATAGAAATGCTCAACCTCTCTATAGATACTGATTAACAGGTGACAAGAGCTGGCAGCAAGGATAGAAGAAAGTGGGACTAGCTAATTTCATATACACGTTGGAGAGTTTCAGCTTCTGGGATGTTCCTAGTGAATCAGAGCCACTTTCATATTAATGAATAAAGAAGAAGGTGGAGAAAGAGGCTGTYACTCTCATCTAACCCATGAAGAACTTTCAAATCATAGGTCAACTACCTTGGAATTGCCCAATAAGGAATGCTGAAAAAAAACAGAAGAGTGCGGAGATACCCAGCTCAGTTTCATTTGTCAGGAAAGCATGCATTTCAGATACTATGTCTGAAGGAGTGATTACAGGAAGAAGTCTGGGAATGGGATGGGGAGAGTAAAAGAAAGGAATTTGGGTCAATGAACGTTGGGAAGAGGTAGAAATATGAACTATGTACATTTACTATCTTTTATAACTCCTTATTGCAATACAATAAGCATAAAGAAAAGAAAAGTAAACAAATCAAACGTATAGGTAGTGAGGTGACTTTTCGCAAAGGGAACATAAACTTGGTGCAGTCTAGAAACAGATCAAGAAATAGTACCGTACCAACTCTTCAGAACTTCACCTTCCATGATATCCCTGCAAAGTGTCACTGTTGGCTTCTGCTTTGCTGGTTTGTTTGTTGTTGTTGTTGTTGTTGTTGTTTGTTTGGTTTTGGTGCTGGGAATTAAACCCAGGACCTTTCACATGCTGGGCAAGCTCTCTACCATCAGTTACACCCCCAGCCATTTTTTTTTTCCTTAAATTTTGAAAAAGGTCCTTGCTTAACTGCTTGGGCTAGTCCTCAAACCTGTGATCCTCTTGCCTCAGCCTCCCAAGTAGCTGGGATTACAGTCATGCAACACTATGCAAGGCCAAAACTTAATTTTTATTGCTTATATATTTCCATCATAGGACTATAACAGTTAGTTACTTATTCTGGACATTTGAGTTGTTTCCAGTTTGTAACTATTGTCATTATAGTATGCTATGAATTTATACACATCTTTTGGTGCATGTGAATAATGCATTCATGCTGGGTGTATACACTAGGAGTAAAATTGCTGGGTTGCTGGGTGCAGTGGTGTCTACCACGCGGCCTGCACAGTGGTTTCATTAATGAGGTTCTAGGCATAAAGTTAGTTAGAAGAGATCGAAATAAAAACACAAGACTCAGTTACCTTATTTCTATTGCTAGGTACGAGATGGCTCACCTCTCTGGTTCGCTCCTCTAGCCGCCCAGCAGGGCAGCAAGGATTACTCAGGGCTAGCAGGAGAGAGAGAGAGAGAGCACGCAGGGAATAGCCTTTTATTAGGGAACAAGAGATTCAGGGGAGAATTCCATCCAATGAAGGTTGAGAGGGGCTGCACTCCAAGGTCAGGGTCAGTGATTGGGTCCCCGGGGTCAGTGGTCAGGCACACCCCCACTCGGATGGGCTCTCTCATCAGGAAAGGGTCGGGAAAACTTCGACTTTTGCCAGAGTGCCTCAGACCCTTAACGGGAGGCACCCCATCACATGTGAGAATGGCTCCCCACAGTGGTGCACACCTATAATCCCAGTGGCTCAGGAGGCTGAGGCAGGAGGATCACGGTGTTCACAAAGCCAGCAGCAAGACTGTCTCAAAATACAAAATAGGGGTGGGGATGTGGCTCAGTGGTTAAGTGCCCTTGAGTTCAATCAACCCCTAGTACCCACCCCCCAAAAAAATTGCTGGGTTACAGGACATGCATCTATGCAGATTTTATAGATAACTATTAAATACTTTTCTGAAGTAATTTAACTAATTCTTGCAGTGTGTGTAAATTCCATCTGCTCCAAATCCTGGAGAGGAGAGGTAGAATATCTTGCTGTCCAAGACGTAGCAGTTTGAGGCATTCGAGATGCTTTATAAATCCCTTTTTCTCCTGAAGTTGTGAGTTGGTCCAGGCAGATCATGTGGATTTTTACTAGCACCAAGCCACACAAATTCTATCTCTAAAGGCTAGGTGTGTGTGTGTGTGTGTGTGTGTGTGTGTGTGTGTGTGTGTGTGTATTCCTTCCCTTATATTAGTTTACCTTGCTAGAAAAGTATGTAAGTGGGATGTAGAGAACGTAGTCTAGGATTAGTACATTCTGTGGGGAGGTGGGAACGGGCAGAACTGTTGGTTATGAATATTATATCAATCTAGGTCCTTGATTTCTCCATTCTTTATTTCTTGTACTAAATATAATGCTAACAAAAATCCTATCACAGTACAAGACAGAGAAGAAACTCAATTTGATTTCTTTTTATACTTTTAGAATTTGATCCGAACAAAGTCTGAAGGGATAAAAAGTCAGGGTCAGCATGTAGGATAGAAGGAAGGAGCCCAGAAAAGGAGAAGGCTGAGAAGGGCAGGTGGTGGTATTCTGGTGGGTGGGTGAGCTAAAAAGTCCAACCTTTTTAGGAAGGGTGTTTCTCATGCACAGAAGGACTTCCTGCCTTTGTCCCAGTGGTCTCTTCCTGGGAAGTAAATGTTGCTGGATCCTAAACTCTGGTGGGCCGGAAGGAGAGGCGTGGTCTAGGACTGGAGCTTCTGGTTCTCTTGGAGGGGCTCCTTCTGAGGAGGAAGCAGCAGTGACCCAGCTGTTGCCAGCTGCAGTGGAAATTCTGAGCTCAGAGTCTCAGGCTGTTAGACCGCAGCAAACTCCACCCTGGGGCCTTGATAGGGATAGCAGCGTGTGTGTCCTCTGGCCTGCWGTCAGACTTCTCATGGGTCTTTCCTCTTGCTTGAATTTGGGAAAGAATCCAAGAATGTAGCCCTGAAGGGCTAGGATGGCCACATCCATCCCCACCCCTTGTTTTATGTGCTCTTTTCCCAGTCTCCAGGGCCCTGCTTGGCTTATTCTGTCTGATACTTTGGGTCACAGAAACTCCACTAAAAAAGTCAATGAAAGGTCTCCAAGGAGTGAAAACAAATGGATCAATCAGATATGTTCTTTAGGGATAAAAGGAGAGATGGACAATAATGGTTGTTTGGGTATTGGTCTCAATTCAGTCCCTGCCAACTCTTGTATTTCTAACTTTGTTAGTGGCTTTTATTCTGAATCTTTAATATTTTCACCTTCTTTTTTTAAAATATTTTTTTAGTTGTAGATGGACACACAATATCTTTGTTTATATTTTTTTATGTGGTGCTGAGGCTTGAACCCAGTGCCTCACACCTGCAAGGCAAGCGCTCTACCACCGAGGCACATCCCCAGCCCCTAATATTTTCACCTTCTTGGAGTACAGTGTGGAGGCTTTTATCTAGTGGAACACCTCTTGTACAATTTCTGATCTGTGTTCCTCTTACTACTTTTTTGTTTTTCTAAAACTTCATGTGACTCTGCTGCAAAGGAAGAATTTTCAAAAAGTTGAAAAACATGACTCTTATTACACATATAGAATGAAGATATGTCAAAGATTTATTTAACCCATTAGTGAGGGAGCCAGCAAGATGGAAAAATGGGTTCAAAGAACATTTGAGCCAGGTACAGTGGTGCCTGCCTGTAATATCAACTATTCAGGAGACCAAGACAGGGGGATCCCAAGTTTGAAGCTAGCCTTGGGCAACTTAGTGAGAACCTTTGTCAAAATAAAAATTAAAATAGGTTGGGGATACAGCTCACTGGTAGAGCACCCCTTGGTTCAATCCCCAGTATGGCAAAGCATACAATCAAGAAAGAAAAAGAGCTTTTGAAGAACTATTTATTAAAGAAAGAATGGGGGCTGGGATTGTGGCTTAGCGGTAGAGCGCTTGCCTAGCATGTGCGAGGCCCTGGGTTCCATCCTCAGCACCACATAAATAAATAAAATAAAGGTATTGTGTACAACTTAAAGAAATAAATATTTTTAAAAAAGAAAGAATGTTGGAGTAAAATTGGTAGGTTAGATTAAAAAATGTTGGGGCCAGGATTGTGGCTCAGCAGTAGAGCGCTCACCTAGCATGTGGGAGGCCCTGGGTTCGATCCTCAGCACCACATAAAAATAAATAAATAAAGATATTGTTTAAAAAAAAAATGTTTCCTGTCTTGCCAGATGGTAAAACCAGGAACCTTTGGAATTATCTTTTCTCTCTCTCCTTCTGTCTTTTCATGCTGGGGAATTGAATCTGAGGCCTTGCACATGCTAGACAAATACTTTACCACTAAGCTACACCTCCTGCCCAAATTATCTTTTCTACTGAAGATAAATAATTTGCATTTGTAGTAGACAAAAATCTACAAATGAATGTGTGAGTGAATGTGTGTCTTTACTAGGTCTGGGCCTGATCAGAGTAAATATTAATTTAAACAAAGAAATATTCCCCTAGATAATGAATATTCTTTGAATGGACCATTTGGACAATGTTCTCAAATGACATTAAAAGAATATGCAGTGGTGGCAAATGCCTGTAATCTCAGTGACTCCGGAGGCTGAGGCAGGARGATCACAAGTTCAAAGCCAACCCTCAGCAACTCAACTCAGTAAGACCCTGTCTCTCGATAAAATATAAAATAAGGCTGGGGATGTGGTTCAGTGGGTGAGTGCCCCTGAGTTCAATCCCTAGTAACCTCCCCCAAAGGATATGCAGTCCTCCTTTTGCCTTATCTCCAAGTTTTAGATAACTTTAAAAAATATATATATATATATATATATTTTAGTTATAGGTGGACATAATCTTTATTATTTTTTTTTAATGTGGTGCTGAGGAATGAACCCAGTGCCTCACATATGCTAGGCAAGTGCTCTATCTCTGAGCCAYAACCCCWACTCCCAGATGACCTTTTTTGTATGTGTATGTTTGTGGTTGTGATACTGGGGATTGAACCCAGGGACTCTTTACCGTGAACTACATTCTCAGCCCTTCTTATTTTAATTTTGAATAAGGTCTTTCGAAGGTACCCAGGCTAGCCTCAAACCTGTGATCCTCCTGCCTCAGCCTCCCAAGTCACTGAAATTACAGTCGTTTCCCATTATGTCCATCTTCACACGACTTTCTTTAATATTTGTTTTTTTAGTTTTAGGTGGACACAGTATCTTTATTTTACATTTATGAGGTGCTGAGAATCGAACCCAGAGCCTCACGCATGCATGTAGGCGAGTGCACTACCATTTCAACCACATCCCCAGCCCACACGACTCTTTTTTTTTAAAGAGAGAGAGAGAGAGAGAATTTTAATATTTATTTATTTATTTTAGTTTTCAGCGGACACAATGTCTTTTGTTTTCGTATGTGGTTCTGAGGATTGAACCCCGGCCGTACGCATGCCAGGCGAACTCGCTACTGCTTGAGCCACATCCCCATCCCCCACATGACTTTCTTAATACTGCTGTTACACTGGTCTTATTCCTATTCCCTTCACTAGTATGCATAATTTTTTTCTCTTTCCCTTTTTTTTATTGGTGCATCATAATTGTCCATATTGATGGGCACACTCAAATCTTGACAATGAAAAGAGAAAGTCTTAGAATGTGGTAAAGCAGGGGAGAGAGAGAGCCATTTGTTATAGGTTAAACTTGATGTCTCTTGAATATTACAACAATAATAATAGCACTTAAGATTTTTCAAGTGCTTTCCATGTGGTAAACATTAGTGCTTTATATTCATTAATTCAYTTTATATTCCCAACAATCCTATTTCCCTTTATAGATGATGAAGCTGAGCCATTTCAGAAAAGTTTAATGACTTGTCCAAGACCAAACCTAGCTAGAAAGTGGCAGAACCAGGATTTGAACCAAAGCAGTTTGACTCAGGTTGTCCTTCATTAGGGGTCAGTAAAGGGATAGGAATGGATGTCAGAGAAAAGAAATGTCTATAGTTTGTCCAAAAGGAGACAAATAATGTGAAGGATTATTTTTAGTACTCAAGGAATAACAGCCAGAGCTCTGCACTTACTCTGCCTTGTGGGTATTGCCAAGCATCTTTCCCAAAAGACAGTCATCTCTATTCAACTAGTGTTTGAGCTTTAGTTGAGGAAAAAGAGAGAAATGTATTGGTATTATAAGGACTATAGTCAGTTCATTTCTTTGTAGGCTTCTTTGAAGTGATAGGTTTCTATTAATAGTGACATTTCTATTTTTTTTTTTTTTTTTTGGTACCGGGGATTGGTCAGGGGCTTTCCACCACTGAGCCACATCCCCAGCCCTATTTTGTATTTTATTTAGAGACAGGGTCTCACTGAATTGCTAATTGCCTCGCTTTTTGCTGAGGTTGGCTGTGAATTTGCAATCCTCCTGCCTCAGCCTCCCTGAGTTGCTGGGATTACAGTTGTGCACCACCACAGGGCTGGCTCTTTATCATTTTTATTAAGATAAATAGGAAAAGTAGTCCTACTGGGAGCACAGGAAGGGCATGGATTAATCCAGTTGTCTTAATCTCTGTCCTATTGTTAGTCCCTGTCCCCAGATTATCACTTTTCTTTTTATTTTTTTTAGGGGGGACTAGGAATTGAACCCAGAGGTGCTTAGCCATTGGGCCACATCCCCAGCCCTTTTTATTTTTTATTTTGAGACAGGGTCTCAGTAAGTTGCTCAGGGCCTCACTAAATTGCTGAGGCTTTGAACTTGTTATCCTCCTGCCTCTCTAGTTGGTAGGATTACTGGATATGCCACTGTGCCCAGCTGTCACTTTGCATTTTTCTTTCCCTTAGATACGGCAAGATTGTCTCCACGAAGGCCATACTGGACAAGACCACAAACAAATGCAAAGGTAAGAGAATACTTGTCCTTGGGGATGGAGAGTAGCAGTGAGTGAGGCCATCTTTGCCTTTGAGAGAGAGAGAGGCAAGGGATGGTCTTTGTTGCTGAGAGAGCCTGAGTACCCAGTGCCCAGGAAAAGTCTCTGAGGTTTTCAGGCTCAAAAGACAAGTAGATATTTAGATTAATTGGTGCCAGATGACTAGAGCTGTTTGAGAAGCCAAGGTCAGAATGCTGCACAGAGTTCCTTGAGTCCCTTGGGTCCACTTTGACCTCAGGTTTCCCTGGATGAGGTGCTGAAGGTTGGCAGGAAAGATTTTTTTTTTTACTTTGTAAAGCAATGTATATGCCTTTTGATTGTGGTGGAAGGATGACTCAGTAGATGTTATTTTCCAAGAATGAGTAGTTTTATTTGGGGTTTTTAGAAGTTCTGAGTGGAGCTGAAGAATGGAAGGAGGAAAAAGGGCTGTGGGTTGGGGGTGGGGGGTGGGGGCTTCTTCCAGCAGGTGGCTGGGTGGCCATTTGTCCAGGAGAGGCTATATTCCCCACATGCCYAGCATTTCCGGGGTATATCTAGGAAAGAGGGCAGAGTTTTCTTTTAGAAGTGTGGAGGGGAGCTGTGGGTTATTAGAAGGCCTAGATCCTAAAATCTCAGATTTTTTTAAAGGGGAGGGCAAGGGTACCACAAAGACCTCATTTCCTTTGGCATCCTTAACCACAAAGTAGACCCAACCTCAGAGCATGAGAAGCACATGGATAGCCACCTGAAACCTGTTAATTTATCTTTCTCCCTGCCACTTCCCTTACATGGATCATAACTCTTCTCTGTCTCCTGAAAAGCCTGGGTGTCCTACCTCCCTTACACCTCCCACCTCCCCGTGATGCTGTTTCCCTGTTCCAGGCTATGGCTTTGTGGATTTTGACAGTCCTTCAGCAGCACAGAAGGCTGTAACAGCTCTGAAAGCCAGTGGTATACAGGCACAAATGGCAAAGGTAAGGCTGCCACTCCAGGCTATTCCTCCAAGGGGTGTAGTTACCACTAAAGTTCCAGTTCTAAGGCTTCCAGAGTGAAAGCCTTGAAATGCCCCATGAAGTTGATAGGCAAGCACTGTCTGTGCCTGGGTCTAGTCAGTCTGGATATGGGTCCATTGAGCATTCCTGGGTATTGGAGCAAGATTGTATTCAGTCTGTGGCAGATAGCTCTGTCCACTCTGTTCCTCTCGTCATTATAAGCCTGCAGGAGGGTCAGGAGGCCTCTTGCAATCCTGCTGCCTATCTCCACCCTGGCCCCACTTCCCTACCAGAGGGATTGTGGCATTTTGCAACATTCTCTGAAGAAGCCTGTTGTGCAATTCGGAGGTTATGAACAATGCTCTCCCCCTCCCAACACTATTCCTAGTAGGGGCAGGGAGTGGAGTGGGGAGCCAGGGGGAAGCCACAGCAAGGAAGGAAACTGTTTCTTCTGCTCAGATCTGTCTGGAACTGTTTTTGGTCTAGATTACTAGAAAACTAGAAGCTTGTCTTGTATCTTCTCTTTGGTGGGGTTGTCCTCTTGCCTTTCTGAAGCCATCATGAACACTATGTCTAGAATTAATGAGGCAGGACTGCCAGATGCTTCTCTCTGTAATAAAGAAAAAGGAAACCCTGAAGGCAAAGGCCAAAGAGGGGTTAAGGTTGCTGGTGATCACTGCCCAGGGCAGAGTGATTGCTTAAATTCTTAAAAATACAGCCATCAGAAGATACTGCCATTGCTTGCCTTCTGGGGGACCCTCTGGGTCTTCCTTCTGATATAAAGCGCTCTGACTGCAGCTCCAGCCTGTAGGAGCCTTCAGAAGTTTTCAGGACTTGTGGTGACCACTGAGCTACACATCTGGTCCTTTCTCTGTCCCCTTCTCCCCTCTTCCTGCTTTTCTTTCGGTCAGGGGGTGAACAAGCATTTCTACTCCAAGATTGTGCTGTGACCGGAAGAGGGGGAGGGGGGCTACTCAAAACAATCCATCCTTGGTGAGAGCAGTCCAAGAAAATCCAGCCTCTGGGGCAGGCTGCTGGGGAGAGGGGGTGCTGCTCCGCCTACTTCTTAAAGAGACAGCCAGGTACTATCCATGACTTGTAGAGTACTAGAGATGGTAAATCTGTTTTTTTTTTTTTTTCTTTTGTTTTGTTTTTTTTTTCTTATGGGACTGTGTAAAACCTGTGAAAGTGGGACTGGGTGTCACAGATAGTTAAGATTCTCTTTGTTTATGTGGAACCCTTTCTACTATCTCTTTTCTGAAATGTCATTTTATAGATGATACCTGAAAGTAGGAGGGAAATAAAGGATGTGAGCTTCATTTTCTCTTTTTTGTTTCCATAGCAACAGGAGCAAGACCCCACAAACTTATATATCTCAAACCTCCCTCTGTCAATGGATGAGCAAGAACTGGAGGGGATGCTGAAGCCCTTTGGACAGGTTATCTCCACCCGAATTCTTCGAGACACCAGTGGAATCAGCAGAGGGGTTGGCTTTGCAAGGTGAGAGATGCGAAAGTGGAAAATGGTGAGGTTAATAAAGTGTCACTTGGGAAGGCACCAACATCCCCCCCACACACACACACCAAGGAACCAAACTATTGGTCAAAAATACTTGACTGTAGGAGCTGAGGTTGTGGCCCAATGGCAGAGCTATCCCCTAGCACGTGCGAGGCCCTGGGTTCAATGCTCAGCACCACATAAAAATAAATAAATAAAATAAAGGTATTGTGTCCAACTACAACTAAAAAATAAGTATTAAAAAATACTTGACTGGGGCTGGGGATGTGGCTCAAGGGGTAGCGCGCTCGCCTGGCATTCATGCGGCCCGGGTTCAATCCTCAGCACCACATACCAACAAGAATGTTGTGTCCGCCRAGAACTAGAAAATAAATATTGAAAATTCTCTCTCTCTCTCTCTCTCTCTCTCTCTCTCTCTCTCTCTCTCTCCCCTCTCTCTTTTAAAAAAAAAAAAAAAAAATACTTGACTGGGCTGGGGATGTGGCTCAAGTGGTAGCGTGCTAGCCTGGCATGCATGCGGGCCCGGGTTCGATCCTCAGCACCACATACAAACAAAGATGTTGTGTCCGCCGAAAACTAAACAATATTAAAATTCTCTCTCTCTCTGTCTCTCTCTCTCTCTCTCAAAAAAAAAAAAAAAAAAAAAAAACTTGACTGTAAATCAGAAGTTTATTTATTTATTTGGTTCAGGGGATTGAACCCAGAAGTGCTTTACCACTGAGCTACATCCCTAGCTCTCTCTCTCTCTTTTTTTTTTAATTCAAGGCAGGGTCTTACTAAGTTGCTCATGACCTAACTAATTGCTGAGACTGGTCTTGAACCTGTGATCCTTCTGTCTCAGGCTCCTGAGTTGTTCGGATTATGGGCATGTACCACCCCACTCGGCACTGGAGATTGATTTACATTAGTGATTTTCTTAAATTGTTCCTTAGAGCTGCAGAACTCTCCAGGGTGCCCACTTCTGGACTCAGGTGTCATTGTTGTGAGATTTCAGTCTCTCCCAGCCTACTTAAGAAACTGTTCTGCTTTTATTTATTCTAAGATTGTGTTTGATTAGAGATTCTCTTGCCTTTTTTTATTTGAAAGTTACTAGACTAAGTAATCTGAACACACTTTTTTATATAACAATGTCTTGCCTGACCTATGAACACTCCTCCGTCTTGGTTGAACACTCAACCAAGATCTGGGGACTAATGAATAGGTCCTCTTCCCTACCAGGCTCAATCTGGGCAGCTCCACCTGCTGGCAATCCCAGGTAAAACCACAGTGGTTTCTAGGCTTGTCATCACTTTTTTTTTTTTTCCAGCTCCCATATTTTCTTCTTTGTGGGGTGGGGGGGGGCGGATTGAGTTCAGGGGCACTCTACCACAAAGCTACATACCCAGCCTTTTAAACATTTTTTAAAATTTTGAAGACAAGGTAATGCTAAATTTCCCAGGCTGGCTTTGAACTTGCTGTTGAGTTGCTTGGTGTTATAGGCATGAGCCACTGCACCTGATAGGAAAATACTTTTATTTCACTCATATTTACTCTACTTACTCTAGTGATATGTGCCTGTTAGACACTGTACAAATTCTCAAACCGTGGAACCAGAATGGATAACCTCACCCTCATTTCCTGTCGCACACTGGCTTTCTTATGGTACTTGCTTTTGTCATAGGAACTATTGAAAACAGTTTTGCAAAATATGATTGTAGGGGAAAGTAATGTCAAAACAATGGCCTACTTTAAGTTAGTATTTTACACAACATCCAACAGATGTTGCTCTATTTTTCTTCAAGTGTGCCTTTTTTAGTTTCTCACAGTGGCCCAGGATGCATGAAAGCACAATCTGGGAATTGTGGCTTTGAAGACTAAAAAAACTATGAAGCTGGGTTCAGTGGCTCATGCCTATAATCCCAGTGGCTAATGAGGCTGAGGCAAGAGGATTACAAGTTCAAAGCCAGCCTTAGTAACTTAAAGAGGCCCTAAGCAACTTAGTGAGACCCTGTCTCTAAATGAAATATAAAAAAGGACTGAGGATATGGCTCAATGGTTAAGTTCCCCTGGGTTCAATCCCTGGTATCACAAAAACAAAACAAAACAATGAAAAAAAAAGAAACAATTATTAATTTTCTTCTATGTTTTTATGTTAACATCTACAATTTTTCTTCATACATTTAGATTCTTGCTAAGTGTAATTTCTGTATATCGACATTTTAAGTAAAACTCTTAGACGATTTTTAAATGTATCCAAATGAGATCTAAATATAATAATTTGTTACATAAAATTGTTCCTTTAAAAATGTATGTGCCAGGGGCTGGGGTGGTGGCTCAGTGGTAGAGCACTTGCCTAACGTTAGATGTGTAAAGCACTGGGTTCAATTCTCAGCACTACATATAAATAAATAAAATAAACATCTATTGCCAACTAAAAAATATTAAAAAAGAAAAATGTATGTGCCAGCTGTATACAGTGGGGCACACATATAATCCCAGTGGCTCTGAAGGCTGAGGCAGGAGGGTTTCAAATTCAAAGCCAGCTTCAGAAATTTAGCAAGACCTTAAGCAACTTAGTGAGACTCTGTCTCAAAATAAAAATAAATAAAAGGGCTGGAGATATGTCTCCATAGTAAAGTGTCCTGGGYTCAATCCCCAGTATCAAAAATCAAACAAACAAACAATACTGTATGGACCAGGGCTAAGGATGTGGCTCAGTGGTAGAGTGCTTGCYTAGCATGCATGAGACCCTGGTTTTGATCCCCAGCACTGCAAACAGCAACAAAAAATATATGGGCCATTTCTTTCTTAATAGTCATACACCTCATATTGTTCTTATAACATTCCTTTTATCTTCTTGATCTTGTGTTTGCATGTCATTTTCCTAGAGACTTATATTTGAGTCTTTCTGTGGATCATCCTTGTTTCCTTTCAACAAAATGTGTGTTTGTGTGTGTGTGTGTGTGTGTGTGTGTGTGTATAAATTAAAACTTTTTTTCCTTGTGGCCATTAGGCTGTGTGTATTAACCCATGAGAGAATTATCTTTATAATTATTAGTCAACAGGCACACCATACAACATAAATATATTAAAATGTTCATACAAAATTATTTTATATAAAGTAAACTTTGTTGAAAATTAATCTCCTATGACATGGATAAGTTTTATTTTCTTTAGATTTTTTTCTTATTAGGTCATGTAGCCAGCAATGAATATTGTTTGTTGCTATAACAAGTGAGGGCTTAACACCAGTTTTGTTCCTCTTTTTTGTTTTTATGCTGAGAAACCTTGTTCATATAAATGAGTAGATGAGAATGGAAGGGGCTTTGTTACAGTGAGAATTCTTTGGATTACTTCTGAATTATATGCCAAGAACCAAAGTGATCTGTCATCAAAATTGATTTTTTTGTGCATTGACAAGTTTCTAAAGTCTTCTAACTTTTTGGAAGCAAATAATTGGAAACCATCTGACTTATAAAAAGGATCTGAAATTTAGTCATTAATATCTGMTGTTGAGTTTTAGGCTGGATAAGAAGTAAATTAAGACAGTGGTTATGAGAAGGGACTTTAGCCTTGACTATTAGAAGTCATGAGTCCTCCTTCAGGCAGATCCCTGGAGGAAAGAGTTTTGAGGAAGTTGAGGTTCTAAACACTCTGCCTACTCACGCTTTGGAAGGACTATAAGTAGAAGTTACTGAACCGAAGATCACTGCTCTAGAATATCTAACTGGTTTTCTCTAAAAATGGTTTTCCCTGAAAGGTTCCATCTGAGGCCTTTTATTTACATTTTTGGTGCTGAAGAATTAATCCAGGGGTATTTTACCACTGAACTATATCCCCAGCCCTTTTTAAATTAATGATTAATGTTTTTAGTGGTTATTGTCATAGAAAGTACTGACTTAATTTAAATGTGGTAGTAGGTGAAGAAACAATATATAGGCCCTTATAATTTTTAGAACACATCTATATACAATATACTATCTCAATCAATCTGTACAGCACTGATTGACTTTGATTGTCTCTAAAGCACAATAAGGAATGGGTCCAGAGGGTTTTTTGGAATGTTCTGACAGAGTTCAGGGAGGTAAACTGGTGCTGATATCTAGATGTTCTTATCCCTTACTCAGTCCTCGTTGCCCAGAAAGAAACTTCAGCCTAGTAGTTCCCAGTATTCCTTTTCCTATTACTATGGACCATGAGCCCTTTATTAACAGATTCCTAAAATCTTAATAATGTCAACAGTAGCTAAGTGGGCCTCAATAGTTATAACCAGAAGCAAAAAATAAGTATTGCAAAATCTTAGCTTGTACAGTTTCCTTAGTATAAAGAACAATGTTCATTAGGATTTTTTTATTTGGGGGGGGGGGGTACCAGGGATTGAACTCAGGGGCACTCAACCACTGAGCCACATCCCCAGCCCAATTTTGTGTTTTATTAGAGACAGGGTCTCCCTGAATTGCTTAGCGCCTCGCCTTTGCTAAGGATGGCTTTGAACTTGCAATCCTCCTGCCTCGACCTCCTGAGCCACAGGGATTMCAGGCACGTGCCATTGTGCCCAGCTTCCATTGGGGCTGGGGATGTGGCTCAAGCGGTAGCGCGCTTGCCTGGCATGCGTGCGGCCCGGGTTCGATCCTCAGCACCACATACCAACAAAGATGTTGTGTCCGCCGAGAACTAAAAAATAAATATTAAAAATTTCTCTCTCTCTCTCTCTCTCCTCTCTCACTCTCTCACTCTCTCTTTAAAAAAAAAAAATAATAATAATAATAAAGTCTAGCCAGATGTGGTGGCACCTGCCTTGGTGGTAATCCCAAACCCTGTGACAAAATAAAAAAGCACTGTGGATATGTCTCAGAAGTAGAGTGTTCCTGAATCTCAAGGAAAAAAAAAAAAAGTTATGAACAGTGGTGCATGCCTCAGGTAGGAGGATCACAAGTTTGAGACCAGCCTGGGCAATTTAGCAAGACCCTGTCTCAAAAAGAACTCGGGCTGTAGCTCAGTGGTAAAGCACCCCTGTTTTAATCTCCAATACCAAAAAAAGGGGGGGTTAGAGACATAACTTAGTGATGGTAGAGCCCTGAGTTCAATCCCCAGTACTGCTAAAAATTAAAAATAGTAATTTAACTGCTACTATTTCTTATATTCTTATTTTGGTGGCAGACACAATAATAGGCTCATTTGTCAGTATCCTTTTTTTTTTTTTTTTTTTTTAGCAGTGCTTGGGATCAAATCCAGGGCCTTGTTCGTGCTAGGCAAGCACTCTATCACTGACTGAGCCCCATTCCAATCCCAATCAGAGTCTTTTTTGGAATATTAATAGCTTGAAGACCTCTACTATTTTAGGATTCCTTGCAGGAGATGGTTGAGAGGATCTTCCTTAGATGTTGCATAAGCTGCAGAAACTCTTTATGTTTTTATAGTCGTAACTTTTGAACTTTTGGGAAACTTAGGGCATTCTCTTTGAATGTGTAGAGAGCACAGATCTTGGAGAAGCTAGAGCCTAACCCCTCTTGTGCTTCTTAGGATGGAGTCCACAGAGAAGTGTGAAGCTATCATCACCCACTTTAATGGAAAATATATTAAGACTCCCCCTGGAGTACCAGGTGAGGCATCTGGGAATCAGGCTGAGAGCCACATGTTGTTCCTTCCAGTTAAGATTCTGGAGGAGTTTTGCATGAGAATGTCTGCTCATTGAGGTGAGACTCAGCTGCCTGTCTGCTTTCTGTTTTGCCAGCCCCTTCTGATCCCTTGCTTTGTAAATTTGCTGACGGTGGGCCAAAGAAACGACAGAACCAAGGAAAATTTKTGCAAAATGGACGGGCCTGGCCAAGGAGTGGAGACATGGTAAGAGGTCCCTGAAAACAGGTTTACTAAGGACATTAAAGTGGAATGGAAATTACTATAGTTTAATTTCTGTGAGCTTAGGTGGCCAGCTTGAGAGCTCTAGGGTGTAAATGAGAAATGCTGATGGCTTAACAAAATCTCAAGTGTGGGTCTTGAGTGAGTGGGGTTCTGCAGCCTTTACAGTTGGAACAACTCAGCAGTTGTAGTGGGACTTGTCCAGAATTTAATTAGTTGAACTTTTTAAAAACATCCACAGCCTTGGCATTCTGGTTTTGTTCCTGTTCTTACCCAAAGGTTCACAGTATGAATTCTGTGTTCTTTCCTTATAGGGTGGTATGGCCTTGACTTATGACCCCACCACAGCTCTTCAGAATGGGTAAGTGTCTTTTACATAATGGAGCCACCTGAAAATGACCCTGGCCTGTGGATATTTCATCTTGATTTTCAAATAGCAATTAGTGGAAAGTGGCTGTGCTTTCATCAGTGGACGTTGGGGTTTCCTGTGACTTTTTACTGAGTAAGGTTCCTTCCTACAGGTTTTACCCAGCCCCTTATAACATCACCCCCAACAGGATGCTGGCTCAGTCTGCACTCTCCCCATATCTTTCATCTCCTGTGTCGTCTTATCAGGTACGTTCACTCCCAAAAAAAGGGAGTGGTGATTTTCCCTACCATGTGTTTTAGGTGAAGGAATGTAAGGTGAGAAATGAGAAATAACTTGTTTTTTGTTTTTTCTTTCTATAAACTACATAAAAATAATGTTACATAAAAGTATAAACTGATCTGTGTGTGTGTGTGTCTGTGTGTGTGTAAACAGCATTTATGTCTGTCTGGGTGAACATACCGTTTAGAGGCATCCTCTTACTCTTTTCACCACCGCCACAAGTAAACCCTTGTTGATTTCCTTTTGTATAGCATTTCCCATATTTTTCTTCATGCGAACATACACATATGTGTAAGGTTTGGGGAGTTGTGTATTTTATTAAAAATCAGACCATATTAAATATATTTTTATTTTATATTTTTCTYACCTAATATGTTAGACAAATGATTCTCAAAGTGTGGTCCCTGTCCCTGCACTTTTGGCATTACCTGGGAACTTATAGAAATATGAATTTTTGAACTCTGCTCCAGATCTACAGAATTAGAAACTCTGAGAATAAGGCCCAACAAAAATCTGGATTTTAACAAGCCTTCCAGATGATTCTACTGTAGTTGACGTTGAGATCCTTTGCTCTAATTATTTCTTTTTAAATGATTGCCTTATATTTCATCCCAGAATTCTTCCACTCTATCCCAGTGAAGGATATTAATTTATATTCAGTTTTGCTGCTACAAATAATGCTTTGGAAGCAGTCTTGTATCTGTATTCTTCTGGGTGCATTCATTTCTGGGAGCTAGAGTCCCAGGAATGCACTTGCTAGGTTGAACAGTGTATGGATTTTCAGATTTATCTAGGTTGCCAGATTGCTTTCTACAAAAGCTGTGTCAATTCAGGTTTCCATCAGCAATGTTTCCATCACCATTTTTCTCTAACCATAGCTGTCTGCTTTGGAAAAGTGTTTCTTGTCTTGATGAGTGCAGAATACATTGTTACTTTAATTTTCATTTCTTTGACTRCAAGTGAATTTTTTGCTTGTCATATTTTGATTTGCCCTTCCCTGATTGCTGTTCTTCTGATTTKCCCATTTTTCTATTTGGTTATTTGTCTTTTCCCCATCAATTTATACAAACTCTTGATTTAAATATTCTCAGAATGTTACCTTAGTTAAAAATATTTTTTTTCCGAGCTTATTCTTTCTCTGTTGATTTTGTGGCCCTGGGACTTTAACTGTGTTCTCTGGGTCATTTAGAGAACTCTCTAAAACCTAGGCATCATACTCAGAGTTTTCTGTTCTCTCAATCTTGCAGGGAAGGAAAGAACATGCATTTCTAACAAGTCCCCAGGTGATTCTCCTGCTGCTCCTACTGTTGGATGGTTCATGGACCATACTGTGGGAATCATTAGTTTTTGCCATATGAAAGTTTTTAAGTTTGCCTATTATTAAACATCTCTGGCCGGGCATGGTGGTACACACATGGTAATCCCAGCGACTCAGAAGGCTGAGACAGGAGGAGCACAAATTCAAGACCACCTCAGCAACGTAGGCCCTAACAAACTTAGCAAGACCCTATCTCAAAATAAAAAAAGGTTAGGGATTGGGCTCAGTGATTAAGCACCCCTGGGTTCAATTCCCTGAACCAAAAACCAACCAAACAAACAAACAAAAAACCCTCTGTGTTATTATTATTATCATCATTATTTTAGCACTGTAGATTGAACCCAGGACACTTTACCACTGAGCTACATCCCCAGTCCTTTTTATTTTATTTTATTTTTAATATTTATTTATTAGTTTTTGGCGGACACAACATCTTTGTTTGTATGTGGTGCTGAGGATCGAACCCGGGCTGCACGCGTGCTAGGCGAGCGCGCTACCACTTGAGCCACATCCCCAGCCCTATTTTATTTTATTTTTTGAGACAAGATTTCACTAAATTGCCAAGACTGGCCTTGAACTTGAGCTCCTGCTTCAACCTCTCTAGTCACTGAGATCATAGGCATGCACCATGGCACCTGGCTGTAAAACATTTTCTGTGTCTGTAGAATTGCCTGTGCTGAACACTTCATACAAATGAAGTCATCTGTTGTCTTTGGTGTTTCTTTCACTTAGCATGTTTTCACGTTTCATCCATGTTTTAACATGCATCAATATCTCATTCATTTTTTGGCTGAAAAATATTTCATTGCATGGGTATACCACATCTTGTTTATCCATTTATCATTTATCAGTTGATGGCCATTTGAAGTATTTCTAGCTAGTATGAATAATATTGCTATGAACATTCCTAGATAGATTTTTAGGGGGTACATATGTTTTCATTTCACTTGGGCATGAACCTGGGAGTAGAATTGCTGAGCTACATAGTATCCCTATGTTTAACTTTTTTAGGAACTGCTGAAGTATTTTCCTAAGTGATTGCATCATTTTATATTTCAACATCCATGTAAAACACTTATCTTTTTAATTAGAGCCATTCTCCTGGGTTTGTGTGGTGGTGCACCATTGTGTTTTTTATTTGCTTTTGCACCTCTTTCATGTGCTTACTATCATTTGTGCACCTTCTATTGCATATGTCTTTCCAAATCCTTTGCCAKTTTTGTTTTGTTTTGTTTTTTGGTACCAGGGATTGAACTCAGGGGCACTTGACCACTGAGCCACATCCCCAGCCCTATTTTTGTATTTTATTTAGAGACAGGATCTCACTGAGTTGCTTTAGCGCGTCACCCTTGCTGAGGCTGGCTTTGAACTCTTGATCCTCCTATCTCAGCTTCCTGAGCCCCTGGGATTACWGGTGTGCACCACCACATCCAGCTCTTTTGCCAATTTTTAATCAGGCTATTTATTGAATAGTTATGAGTTGTTAATATTTTTAAAACAGCTTTTATTAATGTTTCTATGCTCTGAGGGGGACATTTTTGGGGAACTTTGCTAAACATTATCAGATCATTGATAATTATTATCAGATCATTGAACAATAGTTTCTAGGCAGTTAACATTTCTGTTTGTTTTTGCTTACATCAGAGAGTGACTCAGACATCTCCTCTACAATTACCTAACCCATCTTGGATGCACCACCAGTCATACCTCATGCAGCCTTCAGTGAGTGTTCAGAAGTGGGCAGAAGCAAAAGAGGCAATTTGATGTAAAGAAAAGCAAAGGGCTTTGATGACAGGAGATGTGGGTGTGAGTTCTGGCTCAGTACCTTGTGCAGCCCTTAAATTCTTTGAGTGTTGTTCTTAGATAAGTGTCCCTCCAGACTGATGGGCAGAGTKCCTTTTCCTGTTATATGGCTTGGTTGCCGCTCACTATGGCTTTTAATTCCCAGTATTTAAAAATATCTGTCTTCAGCAGTCCCTTCATTATTACTGCCTTGGGTAACCTCACAGGATGCTGCCAACTAACTCTTTTCCTTTGTTGTTGCCTCCAGGGTTCAGTTCTGACACCAGGGATGGATCACCCCATTTCTCTTCAGCCTGCCTCCATGATGGGGCCTCTTACCCAGCAACTGGGCCACCTCTCGCTGAGCACCACAGGCACGGTAAAGCCGGGTATTTCCGCTTATTAACTCCTGCAAGGAGTACCTGTGCAGTATTCTTCAGCATAGATACTTATGAATGATAGAATCACTTCAGTGTCATTGAGGGTGCACTCAGAATTGGAAATAAACTACAAAAATAATGATCCATAAGCCAGGAATGCAGTCATTTTGCTCCCCAGACTACCCCTTTTAACTGCTTCCTTGTTACAAAACTAAAATGTTTCTATGTGTGTATTAATTTAAGAGTTAAGACACATTTCCTAGAAATCCTTATCAAAATAGTAACAGAAAGAGCAGATGAAGCACCTCGGGTTTTCTGGGACTTGATGCACAGCAGGGCTAAAGGGCAGGGAATGCAGTGTGCCTGGGAAACAGAAGTAGGCAGTCGGGACAGAGGAGTGGAAGAAAGAAGGTCAAATTGGTGGAAGTGTGTCTAAGCCACTACCAGAGTGCCTTCAAGAAGCCAGTGCCCAGACCAACTGAATTGACTCCTTGGAGATAGAACACAGGCCTCAATATCTTAAAAAAATCCCCCGGGTGCTTTATCTTTTAATTTTATTTATATGCAGTGCTGAGGACCGAACCCAGGGCCTCACATGTGCCAGGCAAGCCACTCTACCACTGAGCCACAACTCCAGCCCTGTCCCCAGGTGCTTTAAATGTAACCAAGAGTCATTGCTCTAGCTGGTTGATGTTTTTCTTCTAGTATATGCCAACGGCTGCAGCTATGCAAGGAGCTTACATCTCACAGTACACCCCTGTGCCTTCTTCCAATGTTTCAGTTGAGGTAAGAGTTACTTTTTTGGAGTGAAGATAGGACAATGACAGAGACAGATCTTCCCCTGTCAATTGTTCCTTTCACAATGATGCTATTTCTGTGTTCACAAGTAACTGGTAGCTATATGAAGAGTGCAAGAAGAAAAGACTTAGTGTGTGTTCATGAGTGAGGCCCTTGGGCCAGCTRGTAGTTAATACCAGGATGCTCCCTTGAATTGACTAGTGTGCATTGGGAGGAAGGCAGGCTGTTTTGAATATAGAAGAACTTCTGAAGTTTTTTCCAAAGTGCCTGTTGTGTTTTACATTCCTTCCAGTGCTGAGGTGGTGTGTGTTGTGAGTGGGTGGGCTGGAGAGGCCTCTCAGCTTTGGGTGGGTTTTATCTAGACTGGTTTGGAGGGAGCTGAGGAAAAGAATACATAAGATGACTCTCCTTCCTGGCTACGGTACAGGAGAACAGCAGCCAACAGAATCAAGTGGCAGTGGATACGCCCTCAGACCATGGGGTCTATTCTTTCCAGTTCAGCAAGTAACACTGGGTAAGAACCACATGTTGGGGAAGTGGGTTTCCCAAACTAAGAGAGAGCAGCTCAGCCCTGCCTAAAGTGAGACAGGTTCTTGTGCTTGTCTTGCTCCCTCCCTACCCTCTCCCTTGGGATTTCCCTCCCCATCTTAAATAGAAAAGAGTTCTTGGACATGATCCCAGACTCCAGAGGGTTAGCCAGGTTATGTACCATCTGTAGCTCTGTTAAGGACTAACACTTGGCCATTGTTTTCATAGACCTGGGCCTGAGAAAAGAAATCTCTATGCTCCTGCCCTGTCCTCTTTCTCCATTGCTCGTGGAACATGGGGAAATCAGCACATTTTGTGTGTGCTACATTTGAGGAGAAACACACACATGCACACACGGAGACACGCACATTTTTTTCTTTTGCAAAGAAAATTTTTTCTTTGTTTTTAATTGTAATGTACTTTTCTCCTACCTCAAAGAGACATGTGGCTGGAGCTTTTGCTCATATATATGAAAAACAGTTTGTTGTCATTTTGTTTTGTTTTTTTTGATATTGGGAATTGAACTGAGGGGTGTTTAACCATTAAACCACATTCCCAGCCCTTTTGTTTTTTTTTTGAGTTGGGGTCTCACTATGTCACCCAGGCTGGCCTCTAATTTTTTTTTTTTTTTTCCCAGAGCCAGGGACTAAACTCAGGGCCTTGCATGTGCTAGGCAAGTGCTCCACCACTGAGCTAACTCCCCAACCTTCTTCTTTCTTTTTTTCTTTTTTGAGACAGGGTATCGCTGTCTCAAAATTCTGAGTCTTAGGGCTTTAGGCTTATTGCTAAGGCTGGCTTTGAACTTGGATCTTTCTGCCTCATCCTCTGGAGTTGCTGGGATTACCGGCATGCTTTAGCACGTACAACATGTTTTGTTATTCTTAAAAAACAACAACAACAACAAAACAATAAGCTGGGCACAGGACACATGCCTGTAATCCCAGCTTCTTCGAAGACTGAGGGAGGAGAATTATAAGTTTGAAGCCAGCCTGAAGATCTTAGCAAGACCCTATCTCAAAAATTAAAAACAAAAGGACTGGGGATTGCAGCCCAGTGGTAGAAAAGAGTCTCAAGGGAGGTGCTTTTACCCCCAGAGACCATTGCAGTTATCTGATGACATTTTGATCCCTGGGTTCAATCCCTAGTACACAAAAACAAAACAAATGAAATTACCCATGAAGATGCAGTGCTAGGGGCTGGGGCTGAGGCTCAGCTGTAGTGCTCACCTAGCATGCCTGAGGCACTGGGTTCCATCCTTAGCACCACATACAAATAAAGAAATAAAAACATTGTATCCATCTACAACTAAAAAAAATAAAAAAGATGCAGTGCTAGAACATTGATAGAGGAAATCCTAGTTGCTGGTTCCGTTATGATCTTTTTTTGATATATGTCTATGTGTTTAAGAAAATATATAGACTTTAAAAATTTGGTTCTTGTAGAGCTATCAGTTCACATACCCCTCTTCACATGTTTTTTGCTTTCTTTTACTCATTCAGATTGTTCTTTTTCTCTTTTCCATACAGCTAACCCTGCCTACTTTGTCTTTTTATRTTTTTAAATTTTATAAATATCCTTTTTAAATGAAATTTTATATGGAATTTTGGAGGCTGAGCAAGGAATAGACGTGGCTTTTTTCCTGACCCTGCCACATCCTGGGAGAAGAGACTAGACTTTGCCTTCAGGAAGCAGAAATGTGACCTAAATTCATTTGAGAGATGACCCACAGCTTTGGGATTTACTCGTGAAGCAAATTTGATTGAAGACCAGGTCTCGCAGTCTCYGGAAGGATGGACTGACTGACTTCTGACTAGCTCTTCTCACTGCAGAGTCTGTCACCCTCTGAGGAAGGTGTCTTTTCCGTCGGCTCCAGATTTTTCAGAATGCCTGCCATCCTGCCTCCTGGTGGATCTTTTCTGCCCAGGTTGCGTGGCCTCTCTTTCTGCTGCACATTGCTGTGCTCCAGGCCTTTATAGCTGTGACSTTGCTGCAGAGCAGTGTGTCTCAAGGGAGGTGCTTTTACCCCCCAGAGACCATTGCAGTTATCTGATGACATTTTTTATTGCTATGCCTGGGAGTGGGAGTGTGTGTGTTATTTGCATCTAGTTGCTAGAGACCAAGGATGCCACTAAACATCCTACAGTACAAAGGAGAGCCCCACTATGCCCAACAAAGAATTATCTATTTCATAATATCAATAGGGCCAAGACTGAGAAACCTGGATGTTGGCAGTGTTTTCCTGACTTCTCGGCTGAGGTAAATTCCCACCCAGTCCTGGACACACAGTGCCCTTTAACACTCATGCAACTGGTTTGGATGGATGGAATTGGTATTCTTGAATTCTCCCTGGACTCCAACCTTTGACACTTCTGCATGTAACAAGAGCTGTCCTTATAAGGCTCATGGCTCTTGTGCACATGCTAAATACACAGACACACACACTTGGAGGGAGGAAGGTACGGATTGTTTTGTGGATGCTATGCAGGGATGGGAAAGGAGTTTTCTGTGACCGTAGAGTGCTCTGCCCTTCCCTACTTTGTTTAGACCCCTTCCCTAGGGAGCCAGAATATTGGGAATAATTTTCCTTCTTGTTGAAGGACCACAAAGAGCTAGGGTAGAAAAATGAAGTACATCCCATCTCATGATTTATAAGGTCAGATCTTTATAAATAAAGACTCTAGCTCTGTCAGATGCAGTGGCACAGGCCTGTTATCCTAGTGACTAGAGAGGTGGTAGCTTAGCAAGATCTTGTCTCAAAGTGAAAAATAAAAAGGACCAAAGATGTATGTAATTCAGTGGTAAAGCACCTCCAGGTTTAATCCCTGGTACCACAAAACAAACAAACAAACAAACAAACAAACAAAAACAACTTATTTTTCTCACATCAAGATAAGCAGGAAAAAGCCTTTGCCCATCTTCTGGAAAATAAGATCCTACTTCTGTCTTCTTCCAGTCACTCTCTCATGTATCAAAAGGAGAACTCTATTCCCCTTTACTCAGAGACCAGGAGGCATCTGCACCAGACAAAGCAAATAATGGAGATGGATAAATAAGTGTTCATGGGCTGGTGTGGAGAAAAAGAGAGGATGAAAGCTGGAAGAGAAACTGAGGTGTCAGTGGCTGCACATAGAGCTAGGCCCAGCTTTCCCTTCTTTCCCTTTTGCCCCATAATTGAGGTCTTCCCTGCCATCAGTCTTTGTACATCCTGGGGATAAAGGAGTTGGGGGCAGTGGGTAGGAATACAAAGTGTAAAGAACAAAATTGCCTCTGTTTTCTCATTGGTGCTTTCAACCCCAGGAACATCTTATCCAGCACAAAAGCTCCAAGTCCATTAACCCTCCAGGAGGGTTTGGCTTAGCAGACGGTGCTTGCTTTGTCTCTAACCTTCAGTAAAGTGAAATATTCCAGAGCTGCTATCTCATCAGTGTCCTTTCAGAAAAAAGAGAAAACAGCTGGGTGTGGTGGTGCACACCTGTAATCCCAGCATCTTGGGAAGCTGAGGCAGGATGATCCCAAGTTCAAAGCCAGCCTCAGAAATTTTTCCAGGCCCCAAGCAACTTAGTGAGACCCTGTCTCAAAACATAAAAAGGGGTGGGGATATGGCTCAGTGATTAAGTACTGGGTTCAATACCTGGTACTGGGTGAAAAAATCCAGAATTCTGTTTATTTAACTGATGGTAGATTGGGGAAGTCTTGTTGGTAGGTTTAATGTTTGGGGCTGCCTTTCCTGCATAGGAACTGGTGTTGCTGTCTCTGCTGACCTTCCTGTCTCCCAAAATCCCTGATTCTGTCTCCTTTCTCTGTATTTTCTAAATTTTTTAAATGGATATTGAAGTTACCTTTTTTGGTTCTCCTCATATGAACCTACCATTGAGAGTGCGCTTCTGGTTTGGGCAGGTTTGAGGACAGGAAGTAATTGGGAGCCTGCAGTTATTTTTGTAGTGGTTAATGACACTGAGGAATTTCTTTTTGGTGCTTTTGATTTATACTCCTACTTTCCCCACTAGTTGTTAGTTCATTTCTAACAGTGGGTAGTAATTGGAGAAAGGATGGAATAGGAACTATTTCTCCCATGAATTGGTRAAGATTGGTTAGGGTGGGCAGCGGGTAGAGGAGCCAGTCTTGGACTGCGCTCTTTAAACACTATGCCTAGTGTTTTCTGAATCCTGTCTTCCTGAAAGCCACATCTTACACTCTCTGTACTTTCATCTCACCCCCACTCATTACAGATGCTCATAACATTCTTAAAATATTTTAGTACTTTGTGCTTTTCTGTTTTCAGTCAAATAGAACTTATGAGTTCTTTTCTCAGATGGTGTAATCCTTTACTAGGCTCTAGGACTGCCTATCCCATTTCATGTCAGTGTTATTATTGCTCTTTTCAGGCTCTGAGTTGATATCCTGACCCTAGACTGTTTGGACTCTTTGGAGGAGGGTGCAGGTAGAGGTTAGGAAGGTGTGGGAATGATGATGGATAGGGATGTTATTTTTAGTGTTTTCAACCAAAGAAGAGGTTAAAGCCTGGTGGCTCTAAAGAGGTTATAGCCCTTGTTAGTAACAGAGGTATTATTTGCACTAAGGATGAGGACAAGACCTGCTGCACAGGCCATTCCTAGTTGTGCCACTTCAGCCCCATTTCATTCCTCTTCCTTTTCTAATTTGCTTAACAGTGAGCTCATTCATCCCCCCTAATGCCTCCAGTGTCACCAGGCTCTCCTTGCTATTCCAATATGTCAACCCACTGGGGCTGAGACCTACCTATGGGATTTTACTTTGCCATAAAAATGCTGTGAGTGATCTCAGTAGAATGTTGCAGGGATCCCTGACATTGACAATTATTGGTCTTCTGGAAAAGGAACTATTGCTTAGGCACATGCCCCACCTTCTGGGAAGTAGCAGCATTGCACACATTGAGGGGCTACTTTGCCTTGTTAGCCAAGAAGTTGGGGGTATGATCAGGTCCCAACCTGCCCCTATCCTCTGCTAGACCTGGATCTGTGGACTTCAAAGAGGGTGGGGGTTACTAAAGCCAGCCTATAGATCCTAGATCTTATGCCTTGTTATACCAGTTCTTCCYGATTTCCTTTTAAACCAACTACTCCACTTCCATGTGACCCATTTTTTAGGGCTTCCCAAGCATTAGCAGATTCCTGAAGTTTGCTCAGCTTTTACCCTTTCCTTCTATTGGACAGTCTTCCTCTGTGGCTAAAAAATGCCTAKAGTGCTCTCTCCCCTGATCTTTGCTGAACCTCCCTATAGGTGTTCCTCATGTTTGAAATGAGAAAACTAGGTGCTCTCAACACTCCAGTTACCACTGCTTTCTCCCTGGCCTGTCCACTTGTTTTGAATAAGCATTCATTATCCAAGTAGATCCCCAAACTTCCTTGTCCTTGTTACTCATCTACCTCACAATCTCTCAATTAAACAAGGGCACAAGCACCTGACTTACATCTTTTCCTGTTGTTCTCTTCATGAGGGTTAGGAAACTGGGGACTAGAAAGGACTCATGAACAAATTCAGTCTTTGGTTTTTCTACTTCTGGAATGTCTTCTCTGGGGGTTTTAGCTCACTCATCAAACTTTTTAGGTAGGTCTCAATGTGGCACCACCTAAGGTAACAAGATTGTTGGGAGTTACCCCAGGACCACCATTAGAACAGAGCTTAGAACTATAAAATTAATTATTGGCTGCCTCATAGCAGAGAAGGTAACCAAACACCAAAGAGTTTTATAAGACTGGAAATAGATGTTCCTTTTTCACCTTAACAGTTATCTTTCTTAGAGGGTTCAGGAGAAAAAAATGCCCAAACTAAAGGGTTACCTAGTTAAGACTTTTACAGCCAGAGTAAATAAAAGTTCCTACCCCATCACTGGTGCCCCAATTTCCCCAACACATACCCTTTTTGGATGGATGAATACTTACTACATGCACTTATCACCTTGAAATAAGTTTAATTTATACTTAAAACACATTTTGTACTACAATTTTTCCTTTATCCAGAGACTTCCCATGTTATGCCAATGCCACCCTTTTAGCTTATTCTTTTCTGACCCCTGGTCTTCCCATGTTGCTTCCYTACAGTTTGGTAGAGATTCATTTTGTCAACATTTTTAATAAAACAAAAAAATCTGTTTTGGTGTCTTATCCATGGGTGGGAGGGTATGCTGCTACAGGAAATAAGTGGCAGCTTAGGAAGGTAAGGCATGCATCTTGAAGTGGGAACTCATTTACCCCAGTGCCTCAGTTAAGATTTTGAGGCAGATCTACTGAAGCAGAAGGTATGAAACAGGATTCCTGTTGCTTAGAGGTTAGTGATAAATCTGCATCTTATATACCAAAYCAGTCATGCCCATCCTAATACACGTTCTCTCCCCAATATATGTGTGAGAACATGATGAAGGGCCCAGACTAAAGGGAAGAGAAATACACAGAGCCTTTTGAATCTATCAAATGTGGTTTTTATTCAACTGACAAGCACTTTTCTACAGCTGCACTTGTGGAACATCACATGGCAAAAACAGATTTTTTTCTCTAGACTTTTTTTTTCCTTTTTAAACCTTATTAAAAATGAGATTGGTCCTAAAAATATAGAAAGAAATAAATTTAAATTCACAAAAAACTGTACATTATCAAAAAGTCACTAAAACACCACATTTGGTTATATAAAAAGTCAGTCCCTTTGTTGTAAAAGGAACATGGAAACTTGGTGTAGATGGTGTGGTTTCTTGCTGTTACCAGACTGATAGGGGAGGGGAAACAAAGGGGCAGGGGGGTGGGTTGTCTTTTTATTTTAACCTGCCTTCCCTACCAAATACTCTTGACCATAGAGAAAATCCACCTAGCTCAAGGGGCAGTGAAGATGAGGAAAGAAAAGTAAGAAATGGCCCCTTTGATCACACCCTATCCCCATCCCTCCTTCAGCCTCTACTTTTCAAACTACTCTCGGACCCCACCCCATCTTAAGAGTGCCTGGTCCCTAGGAAAAGAGATGGAACTGGGAGAGGAACACAAGCAAGAACAAATGAGACTTCACTCCCCCTATCCACCTCACCTCCAATGAAATTAATCTAGTACATTTTATGCCAGGGGAAAACTGCCATGGGAAAAAAAGAGGAGCCCCCAACTATAACAGTTCCAAATGTCTAACACAAAGTTTGTTACAGCGCAGTTATTTAGATAAAATATAAATATTTATGCATAATATAAAGTCAATTCAAATATTCTTCAATCCACCTCTTATTTAAAAGCAAAAAAAAAATCTCAAATAAAATTAAATTTTGAGGTTTATCTGACAGAAAAGGCGACTTTAGAAATAGGCTATGGGGGAGAAGGGATGTTAAAGGAATAAGAAAGGGGCTGCCCTAGGACCTACACTGCCCCCCACCCCCATCAGTGGCTCTTCAGTGCTGCCAGAAGTACAAGGAAYGCTCCACCTCACCTGGCACCTTCCACCCAATGGAACATTTCTCAGATGCCTCAGCTCTCTGCTTAGGCCAGCCAGCAGCCACCTCCCCAGTGCAAGTACCCGTAATCTCTGATGGGAGGGGCTCTGCTGAGCAGGAAAGCAGGGGGCCAGAGGCCCATGGCTATAGCTTGGAGTTAGCAGCTTTCCTCTCACATGTTGGGGGCTTAACTTAGGCATAGTCACATGAAGGGCAGTGGTGGACCCAGAACCCCTCCTGTGCTCCAGGGTCTCTGCTGCTGGGGAAGGGGTCCTGGGGGATGAAGTAGATGAAGGAAAGCACAACTAAACCCACAGATGCTCATGGGATTAGAAAAGATCCAGTTCTACCACCCTTCCTGTAAAAGCTTAAGACCTGAAGCTACTGAGAGGAGAGGGAGTTCCTGCCGAAAGATTGCACAGTTTGAAGAGGCTGGAACAGAAATGACCAGGAGAGAGAGAGAGAGAGAGAGAGACAGAGAGAGAGACAGACAGAGAGACACAGACATGTCCCCAGAGAAATTGTTCCTGTGGTTACCCAAGGACAAAAAGGTGATGATATGAAACAATGGGCAAGGTGGGAATAAAAACAGATACTTGGGGAAATTGGATCCCATTAGACAAAACAGGGTCACAATCATAGCTCGCATGTAAGCGTTCACTCTCTCACGCACACATTCACACAAAACACCTCTCTCCCCCTCTCTCTGAGGCCAGCCAATTGCTACCTGGCCTCCATCTTGGAGGTGCACCCAAACTCAGCAGTAGTTGTCCCTGAGGAGTTCCCAAGAGGGAGGTTTGGGAAGCAGATGGGGAAGTTGGCTGGAAGGCCCAGGGTGCCTACCTGCCCTCTCCCCAGCCACTGAGTTTCAGAAAAGGCTGGAAACTCAGCATATGAGGAGCATCCAACATTTTAGAAGGGATAGCTATTGGCAGGAAGATGAGGACAGAGAAAGACAGGGACCTCTGAACTTTTTTTTTCCTTTGAGGAGGGGAAAAAGATTTGGGACAAAAGGAGGGAGGAACCCGTACACGATAGTTTTACATTATTGGATGAGAAAAATCTGGAAAAATGTGAGGGGAAAGAAAAAGTTGAGAGAAAGCGAGAAGCAGGGAAGGGACTGAACATGGAAGCAGCATGTTCAGGGCCCGGTGTCCGGCTCGACACACTTGGGAGTTAAGTCCACTTTACTGGCCGTCACTGCGGGTCCGCACACAGTACAGAGTGTTTCTCAGTTTCACACATTCACTAGAACTATTGCTATTGTTAAATAACCCCAGAATGCTGGGGCATGTACAGGGAAGGAGAGGAAGCTCGGAGAAGGAAGTAAGGACTTCTTTCCCTCTCCCCATATTTAATTAGGAAATAAAACAGAAAGGAAAATTATTTTCTTCTTTCTTTTTTGGCTTTCAGTCCAGAAGAACCTCATCTCTGCACCTCTTATTAGAGGAGCAAGAGGAGGAAGGGAGAAAAAGACTAGGGATATGAGGATGTGGTTTGCTGCCAAGGGCAGGGTCAAAAATCAGGGTTATATCTGACTTGAGTCTGGACCCAGGGCAGCATCAGCAGGTGAGAATGGCAGGTTTTTTTGTTTGGAAAGTGGGGAGAAATGCCACAAGGTGACTCCCAACCTCCCTTGCCTCACAGATTGGCCTGTTTGCCCTGATAAAATTCTTCCCAGCGGCTCTCGAAGAAGCGGCGCATGATGTGCCCAGCCTTGCCCACTTCAGAGTCATCCTCATTGAAGGTTTGGCAGTTGTCAAAGACCAAGAGGGCATCTGCTGCAAACTCCTCTGAGCTGGTATACCTGGCAGGGACAGAGGTRTAAGCTGAGTAAGAGTTGCAGAGTAAGGAAAAGCTAGGGGAGCTGCCAATATTTACTTACCCTCCTCTGAGCAGGCGCTCCCGCATGGTAGAAAAATCCATTGGGTTCTTGATGATGCGTCGGTACCCGCTCACCAAACGTGGGTTCACAGGCTCCAGGAAAGGCCAGGCTGCATCATGGGACTCCATCTCCATCAGGATAATCCTATCAGTTCAGGGACAGTGATGGTTCTATATCCAGAAGTGGACATACACTGACCCCTTCCAGCCCTCTCCTCTGGCCCAGAAATCCCTCAACTCACTCGCAAAATGTGAGATCACTGTGATGGTTCCGCATTGAGAGTCTCCGCCGCTTAGAGGGAGACAGTCCTTCTTCTGAGTACCGAGGCATTGCTGGGCTTTCTCGGCCCCTCGACAATACCCGGCGTCGGCGGCTATCACCTTCTGGGAAGTTAAGTGAATAACTACTTTTCCGCTTCTGGCCTCGCTTTGGGAAACCAGGCTTCTGAGTGAATTCTTCCTCTACTTGCTGAGGACAGGAAAAGGTGAGATGATCAATGGATAGGGGTACACTCCACTTGTCCTCCAGTTCATTAAGATCCCTACCTAAGTGTGACTGAAGCTTCAAAATACATAAGCCARGATACAAACTTACTCACATAACCCAGTAAGCAGGGGTAAAAGTTATAATTACTCCTATTTTATAGAGTAAGAGTCAATAGAATTTAATAAGGATTAGAACCCAGGTCTCCTAACACCCTGTCAGGGAGCTCATTTCAAGGAAAGCCTCAGGGCAAATAAGGATTGGTAGTAAATGGGATAAATAAGAAAAATCTCAGCCAGGCATGGTGGTGCACACCTGTAATCTCTGGCTCAGGAGGCTGTAGGCAGGAGGATTGCAAGTTCAAAGCCAGCCTCAGCAAATTAGCAAGGCCCTAAGCAACTCAGTGAGACCCTGTCTCTAAATAAAATATAAAACAGGGTTTGGGATGTGGCTCAGTGGTTGAGTGCCCCTGAGTTCAATCCCTGCCCTCCCGCCCCCAAAAGAAAATCTCCAATTTATGATGGATGGGAGTGGGAATCAGAGCAGAAGCCTCACCTGGGCCAGACAGACAGCACAGAACCAGTCTCCTTCTGGGACAGCCTCCATCTTGGGCCGATGGCAGTAAATGTGGCAGCCACGGTCACACCCATCACAAAGCAGAAGAAACTCATCGTTGTCACCCTTCCGACAGACTAGACAGGTCTGGACCAAGGTAGTGAGGAGAGAGAGTGAGCCCTCAAGCCTCTGCATACCAGTAACCCCAYCCACTCTGGGCAGCTGTATCCTCAGCCTTTCCAGACTTTTCTAGTCTCTTACCACTTTGTTGACAGACTTCTCCCAAGCAATGGACCTTTCCAGCTGGCCCACACACAAGCACACCTGTGCTGCACTCCGGCATCGCTCAAGTGTCTGGCGCCAGACACGAACTCGAGGAGTGATTTCATAAGATCTGAAGGGAGAAAGTGATGCTCTCTGAAGGAAAAGTAGGATCCACTAAAGACGGGGGTACTTATATCCCTTTTATCCTCCAAACCAAGAAAAGTGGAGTGGGAATTACTCACATCTCTGTAGTGGTGCCTTCAGGAGCACCATTGGGTGTGCTGAGCAAGGCCTTCTCTAGTACCACTTCATGAGCTGGCCAGAGAGGCTCCCGCAGGTACCGCCGCTCCACATTCTGTTCCAGGGCAGCCAGTCGCATAACAGCCAGGTCCAGAGGGTTGGTACTCTTACGTTGAGGTGCCAGTCCTTCCCTGCCCCGACCTCTCCAGGTAATATCTTCCTGGGAATCAGGGAGATGCTCACAGTAGGCCAAGTCTTCCCGAGTAGAGTCTGGGCTAGGACATGTCCAACCCTTCAGTAGGAAAGAGGAATAAAACTCATTATGAAGGAAGAAATTTAGGGATAGAAAGCAAAAACAAAAAATATGACCCACTTAAGCTCACGGTAGGTCATTTGTGAAGTGGGACCAGAGGGTTCTTYCTCACAGGGCACAAGGGATTGATGTCCTCCCTTAAACAACTCCCAAGCCAATACCAATCCCAGTATACCCGAATCTGCAGATCGGACAGGATAACCCGCTGTTCCAGTTCCTCTACCCACTGAAGCACAGCTAGGTCTGTTTCATATGTCTTCTCTTTGGAGGACCAACTCATAATCCCTTCTTGAAAGGCAGGTAGCTGAGTAGGCTCAAAGATGGGATCTAAGGAGGGAGAGGCAGAGGCAGAGGCCCAGGCCCATCAAGCTGTTAACCACAGCAGCAGCTCAACATTTACCATTTACACTGAGTTCGGGTCAAGGTGCCTACTCACCAGTTGAGGGCCGTAAGCAAACTTCCTGCAAGAAGTCCCTGTGCTTGTTAAGGTGTTTGTGAAGTGCCTTTTCCCGGATGCCTCGGGGGTGCAGGGCCTTGAGCATGGCATCCAATGTCTCAGGATCTTGGATCCACCACCAGCCTGAGCACATCTCTGTGAGCAGAGGAGATTTACTGACAAGGATAGGACGTGAGGGAGCCCACTATGAATCACACTGGTCACCACTCTTACCCCAATTCCACCTAATATCACTCACCAGGAGGGACAGGCTGGGCTGTCAACTGGGTTAGGTAACGCTGTTCTATCTGTTTGAAAAATTTGCTGGGAGGTCTCCCTCTCCGTTTTGGCTGTCCCAGCCCCATGGAACTCTGTGGCGTTTCTCCAGGGTCTCCTGTTCGTCTCTTAGGGGCCACCCCAGGCAAGGGGGTGGAAGAGAATTGCACTGGTGAAGAAGGATTGGTAGTACTGGGTCTATTCATCTGTGAATAAGTTGAGACATAAGGCGATGAGAATATTCTCACATTTAAGGTTCCCTCAATTTCAGACAACAGCCCCTCAGCCAGGCAATGAAGCCTACAGCAAGATGAAGCCAAGTATATACTAATTCTGGCTACTTACTGGCTTGGAAGAGGCAGGCAACTGAGGGGAAGGAGCAGGCTGGTCCTCAGAAACTGCAGGGGGTGGTGTAGGGGCAGCATTACAGGGCATCTGGGCTGAGAAGTTAAACCATGGTGCTTGAGGGTCAGGGCCGGATTCTGCTTCATCAGGCTCTGGCTCCTCCAGGGGTTGAGGTGGGGCTGGGTCTAGTTTTCCTGGGCTGCTGTCAGGTGTAAGGACTGAGCTGCTCAACAGGGAACAGTGGCTCTGAGTCTGGCTCAGCCAAGACAGGAAGGCTGACTGACTGAGGTCATGCTGGCTCTGACCCAAAGACAAATGGGAGCCTTCCGGCTCCAGGAACCCATTATGGGACTGAGGATGAGACTGAAGCTGGGCTTGGGCAGGAGACTGAAGCTGAGGATGGGGCTGAGCCTCTGGATRAAGCTGGGCCTGGGGCTGTTCTAAATCCTGTCCCTTGACAGGGGATTTAAGTTGCCTAGGTTGCATTGACCCAGGCTTAGTTTTTCGAGGTCGGCCTCGGGCTCGGGCAGGAGAACTGGCGGAGCTGTTAGAACCAGCTAACTCCCTCTTCACAAAGAAGAGAGCAGGGTGGGGTGCTGGATGGGCTGCCACCTTTAAGGAGTCAGTTTCCTGCTTCATCATATCTTCAGGAACTGTAAAGAGAAGTAAAGASCATAAGACATAACACTGATAACATAATGGGAAAGAAGCAGGCTTCTATATCCTATCAGCATAGGATACATACTTTTTTCCCAAATTGGACTAGTCCTAGTGTTCCTTTTTTGAGATTTCACTGGCAGAAGCTTACATGCCAATGAACATAGTATCTGGGGAAGACTGTATGATCTAAGTGATCATTAGCAGCATAATCATAAACTTAAATTTATTAAGAACCAACTATATGTTGAGCATTTTTTTTTGTGTGTGCTGGGGACTGAGCTATCCCTAGACCTATTAAGCACCTTTCTAATTAGAAGCATTAACTCATTTAAATCCTTTCATTGCTTTGTGAAAAAACACATACTATTAATATCTCCAGTTTACAGATGAAGGAACTGAAGCACACAGCTGATAAGTGGCCAAGCAGGTAGGCAGGTAGTCTTACTCCAGGGCCTGTGCTCTTAACCACTATGCTATACTGACTCTCATAAAATGAAAGCAGTTCCAGACCACAAGGTAGAAAAAAAGGAACAATTTAACTTTTGTTAGGATTCAGAACTCAGGCTTCCACAGACACTCCTACCTAAGTTCCCCTCTGTTCCTTCCACAAAGATACCAGCCAAATATGGCAACACCCAATAGCGGCGTCTGTAACGATCTTGACCCAAGGAGACTGCTCGAAGCATCTGGGATGAGTGAAGTAGCTTTTTGCGAAAGAAGAGCTGACGCTGGGTAGACAGCAGAAAATGAAGATGAATAAAAAACACATTTCCAGAGCAAGAGTGGCGAATTCATTAGTATATGGGAGAATGGCAATGGCTCTCTGTTTTCCTATAGAATTTTGACACCATCTGGGCCCAGCTCAGAAGATGACCAATTCTTGCCAAGCCCATGCCTCCAACTCTTGGGAGGTTAGAAGCACAGTACCTTACTGAGTTTTTCTATCTGACGCTCTAACTCTGGGATGCTAGATGCTATAGCATCAACCTGGAAGGAAATAAGTGGATATTGAGAAAAAGGAAATTAATCAGTATCAAGAAAGAAAACATCTACTTTCTATCCTCTACTTTCCTTGTTCTCTCTCTTTTTTAAAATCATTTTCTTATCCAGTACCTCTCCATCTCTTCGACCTCTGCGGCCATGAATAGCTGCTATAGTCTCCTCCTCTTCCTCTTCTTCCATGCCACTGGTTTCCTCCATGATTCGAGAACTGCGCCGCCGTCCCAGGCCTTCCTCTGGCCCTTCCATTTCTACTTCAGGTCGCCCAGTTCGTTTGGCCAGAGCAGTTTTCAGTCTTGAAACAGATGGAGAGAATGTGTGAAATTGTGACGAAGAACAATGCCACAAAAGGAACACCCAGAATCTAAATCGTCCTGAGACCTGGTTAAGATCCCAAGTCCAGGGAAGGGGCTAATGTCACCAAATTCTAGGCAAAAGTCCTGGCTATCCATCACCCTTTCCCACTCTCTCTGAGCTCTACCATGTCTTATCCCTACCTCCGAAGTCGGCCTTCAACAATCCATTTGTTTTTCCTGTAGCTGGACATACTCTCCAGAGTCTTGTCAATCTCACTGCAGGGAAATAGGGAATGTAATTTTGAGGTAGAAATGGCAGCACAGGAAAAGAGAAGGCAGACTTAAGGATAAAGGGGCTGCAAGGAGTTTCAGCCTAGAACCTAGAATGGATGAATGGCAAAGGAAGGCTTAAACTTTCCTAGTCAAAACATCTTCAGAGCTTGGCAGGGGATAGACATCACCCCAGAAACTTCTACATGACTAAACTCCTCCCTCATCCCATTCTGATACAAGGCATAGGATAACCACCCCCACCGCCAGCCCCTCACTTGATGATGAGGGTGGAGCCATTGAGCTCATGCACGAGGAAGGCCAGGACAGCAGCCTTCTGTTGGGGTGGCTGGGCCTGAAAAGGCTGGGTGCGCAGGCTGTCACAGAGGGCTGGCTCTACTCCATATGCCATGAGGAAGCAACGCAGAATCTCAGACACATTGTCTCTTGTCAGTGGGATCTCAGACACCTTCTCCCCCAAGATCTTTAGGGACTGTTTGGAGGAGAACATAATGGGAATGAGGAAAACAAGGGTAACAACTCAAACTGGGTGTACCTAGAATTTGGGGTTAAGATTAAACAAGAAAGCTGGGCGTGGTGGTGCACATCTATAATCCCAGCAGTTTGGGAGAATGAGGCATGAGGATCACAGTTCAAAGCTAGCCTCAGTAATTCAGCAGGACCTGAGGCAATTTAGCAAGACCCTGTCTCAAAAAAAATTTAAAAACTAAAGGGCTGGGGATGTTGCTCAGTGGTTAAGTGCCCCAGGTTCAGTTCCTAGCAACAAAAATACATAATAAATGAGTTGAACAAGAGGAAAAGAATGTAAGTTGAGAGACCACAAAAGAAAAGTATAAAATTCAAAAACAAAACAACATACGAAAGAAAGGGAATAAAATAAAGAAAATGAACAAAGTAAAGCCAGAAGCAACAGGAAAGGAAAAAAAAAAAAAAACAAAAAAAGGGAAAACAGAAAGAGAGGAAGAAGCTATATCCTCTTCACTTCCCATCACTTTAGGGAGGGGCTTATAAGCATTCTGAAAGAGAAAGCAAAACTGACACAAAGCCTATCTCAAGCCTTCCCAGCATGCTTAGGAAAGAAGCTCACCTGACAGTAGGAAGGCAAGCCAGGATCATAAAGTGCAGCCTTTAGGAGCCGCACCAGCAGGTCTTGCACCTTGTCCAAGCTGTCACCTTGACACAGGAGTCCCTCTTGCAGGACTCCAAGGCTAGGCACATCTTTGGTAGGGTCAAAGCCYAGCACCTTGCCGAAGCTGTGCAGGAACTCCACGATGGTCAAGCAGTCTGAGAAGGCCCTACTAGGCAGTGTCAAGCCAGGAATGCGTGTGAAGTCAGGCAGGGGCTGGAGGGGTAAAAGTGGTAGGGAGTCCTGTTAGACTAATCAGAAGGCAAAAATATGGAAGTCCATGAGGTCCTTTCTTTTATAGAAATGTCCTCACAACTGGCCCCTCCATGACCCAGGAACTATTACTATCCCCACACTACCTGGTGGTCAGCCAGACACATATCCTCTGTGGGCTTCTTCATTTCCTCCAAGATCTTCTGCTGCCTCTGCCGTTCCTCTAGACGCCTTTGTGTGGCCAGGGTCTTATCTGCTTTACAGGCTGGCTTGGCTTTAGCGACCTCCTCCTTTATTTTTACCTTCTCTTTTTTTTCCCTCTTCATTTTTTCCTTCATTTTTTCTTGCTTTGTCTTTATCTTTTCCTTCTCAGCCTACCCACCCAAGGGAGAGAAGAACCAAGAGTGCCGTAAAAATACCAGTCACCACCCTTCTGTGATGCCATTCTGGTGGCTTCAAAATTAGACTTGGTGATTGTGTACATGCACTTACCTTGAATTTCTTCTTAGCATCCTTCTGCTTTAAGCTCTTGGTATCTTGTTTCCGTTTGTTTCTGGCCTGTAAACCATAAGGGAAGTCATTTCTCCTCAAACTCTGAAAGCAGCTCTGCTTGGGCTAGGATTCAAAAACAGATAAGGGTGCTGGGGAGGAGAGATGAGAGATGGGATGATGAGGGTTTGGCAATGGATCAACCCTGGAGATGCCCACATATTCTTGAATAACGCCGAATTCCCTAAATCAAGCCAGGGAAACTCAGGGTAACAAATGTGTGTTGCTACATAGGGGGTGAYAGATGTGGAAAGGGAAAAAAAAGATGAAGGGGGTAATAAGAAAAGTTAGCAACTAATGCCCCTCACCTGCCCTTGTACAAGAGTCTGACATTCTCCCCGTTGTACCTTCTGCCTCATCTTCTTTTTGCTTTTATTCATCTTTGCTTTATCCTCCTCATTCAGTGTTTCTATAAAGGTAAAGAGAAAAATGAAATGAGCGAGGTGAAGAGACAGGTCCCTAGTATCCAGTGCAGCAAATAATTGTTTGTCACAAACAATTCTACTGAAGAATATATATTTTAGGTATACATAATAATAAATATGGGGAGAGACACCTGCCATGGTGATGGCACAAAGAACTCAAATGGCATCCCCTGTGTAGAAAGAGCAGCCCCTGGCTCCAATTAGACTGTTGTGGCAACAGTCCAGTTAAGGGAGAAGAGGCCACCATAGCAGCATAGCCTTGCAACCTATCTCTCTCAGGCTACCCGACAAGGGCAGAGACATACAGACTGATTTTAGTGCAGAGAGAGCTGGAGAGAGAAAGAAAACAAAATGCCAAACTGCCAGGAAAAGATCATGGCAATTGGCAGCATTGATTAACCAAGAGTATACCAGAAAAAAAGGGCAGATAAGGGACTCTTCAATAGTCAGATCAGCACTGACACAGATATTGCTTATGTCCAGCAACAATGTGTTGYTCTGTTAAAAAAACAAAACTGAATTTATTCCTTTTTAGAAGACGGAATACTTAAGTATAATTCTGCAAACAGTGTATTTCATAATAGATATTTCTGACATAATAGTACCTATCCTTTTTTTTCTTATGTAGAAACAATCATTCATCTACATGGCAACCTTCTGTATTACAGGTGGATAACTACTTAAGGTGTCCATTTGTTTTTGTTTTTTTGCAGTGCTGGAGATTGAACCTGGGGTCTTATGCATGCCAGGCAAGTGCTCATCTACTGAGCCACATCCCTAGCCCAAGACTTCTATTTAAATATGAGACTTGTTCTAGGTCATACAGTTAGAAGATGGCAGAATTCTGAATAGGAATTAGAAAACTATTTTTTCCACCTTCTTCACACTATGCCAGGGTAAATGCAATATTTACTGAAAAAATTAGATATTTCCCTACTTGTGTATCTCACTAAAATAGTGTCAATTATATTTAGAAATTCAGATGTAAATTCTGAACCTCCATGACAGCGGAAACGAGCAAGGTAAGAGGTGTATAACCAACATAAGAAAGGAGCTGAAAGATGGGTAAAAAACAAAGTCCTCTCCTCTAGCTTATAGAGCTACATCTGGCTAGAGCCCAAAGCTTCAGTGATTAGAATTCAAGGAAGAAGTGGCTGGAATAGATGTACCCCAAGTGCTGGGACCCTGACACTGTCTTCTAAGGAGAAGCTGAGTCAGATTTATTCTGTCCAAAAGTCAGTCATGCACCTGGGGAAACTCRGATATTAGCAATTCAACAACATTTGTATACCTCAGAGAGGGAAAAGACACCAAGGTAAGAGATACCACCATACCTTGGGCCTCCGGTTTCTTTAGGAAGCGGTTGTCTGTCTTATTCAATAGCTCTGGAATTTTGACCTTGGGAGGCCGACCTCGGCCCCGTTTCACCTTGGGGACTTCCTTAGTTTTGGCTTTCTCATTGTTTCGAGGTCGACCCCTTTTGCCAGTAATTGCCTGAATCCTGGATGGAATCTCCTCTGCTGAGAGTTGTACCCACTGCAATCCCTAAGGTAGCAAGGAAGACTATGTCACAATGGGAGAGAAAGGCCCCCAGAACCTCCAAACGCCATAAGAGGAAGCTGTAGATTGTCTACTCTTTCTCAAGGACAAAACCAAATTTAACCCTTGGGCCAGCACCTCTGGTGTGTCTCTCTCTTCAAAGAAATCTCCAACAGGCATCCGGGGACTGAAGCTGAAGTGCTCCCGGCGGACACTGTGTACCACGTTGCGGCTCAGGTACTAAGAGGAGGAAGTAAAGCAACAGTAATGAGATTATAGCCCTACCCATGTCTTTGGCCAGCAAAGGCACAAGCAGAATAGGCCCCAAAGCAGACAGTGCTCTTCTTTTGTCACAGRGCCCAAAGAAATGAGCTTCTACTTTAGAAACACTTGCAAAAGCTACATTACCTTGATTACTTCTGGAAATTGTTTCATTCTCTTCCCACAGGGGCCATAATACCAGGTTTCCCCCTGCCATCGATGGCTGCCTTTCTTGATGCGCACCTCTCTCCTCCACCTGCCAGAGAAGCACATGGGCCCTGCCACCAGGTCACACCCCTACCCACTCCCATGCCACCCAGGAGTCAAGCCCACTGAGCAGATGGCCCACCCGCATCTGTCTCATTAGTACTGCATGCAGATGCAAAAGCAGCATGAGACACAAGCTTAACTAAAAGACAGGCTTGAGTTCCAGGAAATACCTTAGAGCATTCAGGAGGAAAGCAATACACTAAATTGTTCAAGCCCAAAAAGACCTCTATCCCTCATTTTTACAAAGTCAGTGATATGAGCACCCAGAAAACCCTCCCTGAAGCAATTCAGGGCAATTACTAAGTTTCCAGTAAAAGAGGACGAAGACCTAAGGAAATAAAGGCAGACTACAGAGGGTGGGGAGGCAAGCAAAAGAGTAAACTTGCAGCGGACTCCATGAAATGACTCAGTAGGCCAGGCTTTAGTTAGAACTCTCTGTTCTAAGCAAGAGTATTGTTAAGACCAAACCTTATCTTTCTCTCAAACTTTTAAGCAGTACTCATACTTAGTGACCACAAGTAGCCTTACAGGGGTTGGGGTGGGGGGGAGATCCAGCAAGACARTTATTTCCACAAGGCCCTTGGTGTCAGCAGCCTTGCTCATTTAGAGATAACAATATGATAAGAGAAAAAGRTCCAATAATCCACTCCTGTCTAACTCATTCCTCCCCCACTTCAGATGGAGAGAGGAACTCCCCTCTTCCAAGAGTCATGCATTCAACTTGTCAAGGTCAATGCACATAGCTATCTAGAGCATTTACCCATGCTGGAGGGGAAGACGAACTTCTTCTGGGGTGGCAATACGTCTCCTGAGAATATCACCTTTGGAAGAAGATAGGAGATACCTGAGTTAAAGAGTTTAGGCAAAATACTGAAAACAGGCTAGTAGGGAAAGGCTGAATACATCATAGGACATAAACTTTTCTAGAAAAAGCCAGAGGTACAACAGAATCTGGACGCTCACCACTTCCAGAAGTAGTGACTCCCCCAGTAATCTCTTCCAGGTCAGCAGAAGCCTCAGGGAAGCTGCTGACATCCTTATTTGCTGGGGAAGCTGTTGGGAAGGCAGCTGCTGGGGACTTTACAGGGGAAGCTTTGGGAGAGGTCACTGAAGTTGTCAAAGAGACTTCTGAAGAGACTGCTGGGAGGGCTACTGAAGAAGTTGAAGAGACTGTTGGGAAGACTACTGGGGAGACAAGTGGAGAGGCTGGAGAAACTGCTGGGGAGACTTCTGGAGAGATATCTGGGGAGGCTGCTGGAGAAACTGCCAGGGAGATTGCTGGGGAAGCTGTTGGCAAGGCTGCTGGTGAGGCTCCTGGATGCAGCTGAATAGTGGATGACTGGTCAGGGGCTGGCTGGGAAAGGGGTGGAGGGAAGTCTGAAGCCTGAGTCTCCATTTCTTCCTGTTCAGCATCACTGCCATTATTCAGGTCAAAGCTGTTATCTAGAAACCAAAGGAAAAATGGCACCAAAGCCAAAGAGGGTTACTTCAAGGGCCCTTCCCTAGGGTTGGGAAAAGAAAGTAGCTTTGGTTTTCCTCCCCAACCATTCATGAGGATTAAAGGCAAAACTGCTGCCCCTGCTGTCACTGTATGAAAAGATATCTTTTACATCTGGAGCTAGGAAGGCCTATCTAGTCTTCTTTCCCTGCAAACTCCAAGTCAAAAGTTCCTCTGAACAGAAGACACAGGTCAGAGTGTCCTGTGTCCTTTTTTAGTCCCACCACACACTATCCCATAACCTCCTCAATTCCCTACAAATTTGTTCTTACAGAATTCCTATTCCTAAGGTTCTAATTATAGAACCTATTCCCTCACTTTTTTGCAGGCCAAGAACTTTTTTTTTTCCTATCTCTCCTCACTTACCTTGCAGGACAGATTCCCCTAAAACAGGTGGAGAGTTGGGGCTGGCAAAGATTGAAGTTGATGTTTGACTATCATCTGCCAGAAGACTGAAGGCAGTAGCATTGTTGAGGGAAGGGCAATCAAGGGCAGAGATCACAGGGCTATCCTCAAGAGGTAGCTTGTCTTCTGCACCCATCAGCTCTGTGTCATCTATACCATAAAGTCCTCCACTCACTGGCTCTATTTATAGGGTAAAAAAAAAAAAAAAAAAAAAAAAAAAAAAAAAAGATTTCACTGAGGAATACTGGCCTGAAAATATCCAATTCTAGTTTACAGTGTGAAGATTTTTTAAAAATATTTTTTTGGATATAGTTGACACAATACTTTCTATCTATCTATCTATCTATCTATCTGTCTATCTATCTATCTGGCTGAGGATCAAGCCCAGGGCCTCACATGTGGTAGGCGAGCACTCTACTGCTGAGCCACAACCCGATCCCCAAGATTTTTTTTTTTAATATTTATTTTTTAGTTGTAGTTGGACACAATATCTTTATTTTATTTATTTATTTTTATGTGGTACTAAGGATTGAACCCAGGGCTTCACACACACTAGGCAAGCGCTATACCGTTGAGCCCCGACCCCAGCTCCAGTGTGAAGATTTTAACGTTAAGTCAGGGGATATTTATGGCACTCTGAAAGAGTAGTCATGAAACTATAGAGAACACAGTTTGGAGGTAAAAAATTAAGGAAGAGGTATTGATCATGTATCCACTCATAAATCCTTGCAAAATTTTAGCATTTATCATAAATTATACTACAATGTGGGTAAAAAGTTATTGTTCATTGGCAAATGTTTTCTTTCTTTCTTTTTTTTTTTTGTGGTGCTGTGGATTGAAGCCAGGGCCTTTGCATGCGAGATAAGCACTCTACCAACTGAGCTATATATCCCCAGCCCAGCAAATGTTTTCTTTATAGTTACAACCAATAGCCCAAATAGCCCAAGTGTGTGGTAGTTAAGTTCCTATTAAACAAATTATTAGCGCCCAGGGCTCTTGGCCAAATGGAACACTGGGAAAGAACATGGGAAATGAACCAAATCAGTTCAGAGTGCAGTTGGCTGAGCTAGGTCAGTGTAACTGTGGTTTGCCAAAGGATTATCCAGGGGCACCAACACACCAGATTCTCCAACACTTTCTCTGGTTTTCTATCTCTTCTAGGTAGTAGAAGCTGGCTATCCTCTGCTTAGGTGAATGTCAAGCCTACCTGGTGCCAGAGAGTCAAAGGGCTCAAGAGAATCTTCACTGAGGATTGGAGTGTCTTCCAGTTGATCAGGAAGATGTGAAGGATCATCTAAACAGCTCACTGTGGGGTCAGGAACCAGGACTGAGACCTCTTGGTGTAATGACTCCACAGAAGAAACAGAGCCATTATAGCCACACATCTTTAGTTCTAGGGAATATCAGGAAAGAGCAAAAGTCAAAATCAATGCCTTCTACTGGTTCATTTAGCTACAGCAGGTAATTAGTTTTTGATAAAAGGATAGTCAATTCATTCAACATTTATTGCTACTAGGGTGCCAGTTCTATGTTGGGAACCTATCTTATCAAGACACTCTTAAATAAGCAGAGATATGCTGGTAAAAATCAATCCTATGGCGAGCAAAGAGAGGGGAAAGGAGATTGGGGTCTGAGATAAAAACCCCACCATGTTCTTCGATGTTTTCCCTGATGAGTGGGAACACAGAAATATTCTATGATTGTATAAGGTGGTCACCCTTGTACTGAGAATAAAAAGCAAGCTAAGCTTTTAGCTATTTTGAGGGAAACAATGAAAGAGGTTGTCACATGTACCAATGCCAACAACAAAAAGGAAACTGGGTAAACAAGCAATGGTATGTTCTGCCTCCTTACTTCCCTCCTTCACATGCCAATCACTACCAGTTCTCAGCTCACTTTAGCAGCCAGCCTCAACTTGCCATAGTTGAAACAGCTTCAATGCCCACTGCTAATGCCCTAACCCTTTAGTATTTTTCGGAAGAAGCCCTTCTTGATGCAGTGTCTGTTGGGGCTGTTTCAGGCTCGCCCACCTGCCCTCTCCAGGCCAGCAGCTCTGCATGAGCTTGAAATAATTTGCACTCCCACTCGCGAGCTGGTGCTGCAGCCACAAAAACACCAGCCACTTGGCTCTGCTAATCACCAACATGCAAATCAGCCTCCACTGCAGAGAGCTGGAAAGACAAGTTTTCCTCACCTCAAAAGCCACTGTCCCCCACAGCCCCATTTTCCTTCTCCCCACCCAGTTCATGGACCCAGTTATACCTGGCTGTTCCTCTTCCAGCTCCAGGCTGCCTACCAAGCCAGTGCCATTCTCTGTCACAACTGTCAGCTCCTTTTCTGCTGCCTCATCAGGATGGATCCCACTGCCTACCTCCTGGGAGGGCGCAAAGGTCTGGATGCTAGATCCCAACATAGGAGAAGTCTGTGGGGAGGTGAAAAAACCTGGGGGTCCATTGGGCATCACCTCAAAATTCTGGTCAGGAAAGGAATCATACAGTTCCTGTGAGTCGAAGTTTAGCCCCATGGGACTCTGGGTACCGTTGGCCCAGAACTCTTGGCTCCCAGCCCGAAGGTTAGTGTTGTGACTTGGGGATGAAGGTTGTCGGCTGCCCCCAAGGATGCCGTTGAGTGGGTACTGTCCCCCCGAGAACTGGGAGAGAAGGGGTGGGTCCTTGAGGTTGCTGCCAGGATTGGCAGATGGGTACTGTGAGTAGTTCCAGAGACAGTCGTAGGCCACGTTGGGGTGATGGAGGTGTGAGGTGCTGGAGGAGTGGGGAGCAGAGTTCAAAATCCCTGAAGTAGTAGTGTGAGATACAGTAGATAAGCCATTAACATTCACATCCCCATTCAAACCTGGCAGAGAAGGAGAGAAAAGGGTTAGTTATGGATATATACGTAAGTAATTCTACCAAAGAACCCCAAAGTAACAGCACTGACTAGAAAAAGGGAAGGTGAAATGGTGGGGGAGTCCCCCTGTTATATTTAGCTTTTGGGCCTCTGGGGAACACCAAACCCAGATGCTCTTGGAAGTAAGCTTAATAACTGCCGCTGAGGCTGCTGAGTAGGGGGCTGGGGAGCTCTCCAGGTCTACCATAAGAGCCACCAGCAGAGAGCTGGCTGTTGCTGCTGCTATAGACTTTATTAAATGAAGCTGTTTGCAGACTCCCTACAGTGACTTACATTCTCTCCCACTCTTATTCTCTAGGGGAATTCTTCCCTTGAAGGGGCATGAATAAATTCTCCAATCCCCCACACCCATCTTTCCCTAGTGCCTATTTGGCCCCACAGTGGMACCAGAAGGGACAGCCTCCATCTCACTGGCACATGCAGATCCAGCACTTTGTGCCGGGCTAAGAATAGAATGTGCAGTCACCACAGCTACAAGATTCCAGCTCAGAAGGTTGGGCTGGGTTTTGCCCTTCCCCATAAGCCCAGAAAGGTAGTATGCAGTGGGTAAAATTCTTTGCATGACCAATGCTGCAGAATTCAGCTCAACATCAATGACAATCTCTGGGATGATGAAGGACAATGAAATAAAAGAAACAAAGATACCTAGGAAGCTGGGGTGGGGGAACCCCAATGAAATAAAGGAACATCTTTCTATACGCAAGCCTCTTGTAGAGGATAGGAGGGCAAGTGGCAAGTATAATCCTATTATAGTAAGGAGAGAAGCATGTGGACTTCTCTCTGCTTGTAAGCATAAAGGACTTGAAATCCAAGCAAAATTTTAAGAGGTACTTGGTACAGACATGATACAGAGTAACTGATAAGCCAAATCTAGAAAAGATCAATCCTGGCAGCAACATTTTCATCTGGAATTATAAATTTCTCTCTGGAAAAACTAGGTAAGCACTAAACCTTCCCTTATCCCTATTTTCTATCCAAGGAAAGGAGACGACACAGGCAAATTTACATCCGCCCTCTTCTTTGCTGCACAAAAAGGCAAACATACACGAACCCTTCACTCATCCTCCCCACCACTACTAGTACTAGCCCAAAGTTTCTCCAACCTCTAAAGGCAGTGTTTCAGAGAGCCGGTCCTTTATTTCTCTCTGATGGGTCCAACCTGGTCATCAGCAGCAGTAGCCACCTCACTATTCTCTGGCAGTAGCCAGGGAACAGGGCTGACAGAAGAGCAGGCCAAGGTGAAAAAGCTTGTGTTTTCCTAATCCCCTCCAAACTCATCAAGACTAAAAAGTGTTGCTTCCATAAACCCCTAGAATTTAGTCTTAGAAGTCTATTTCTCTCTAGTAGCTGGAGTTCTATGGATTTACTTTCTCCTCACCTAGGAGGAAATAAAATTGTGGAATAGCTAGCCCAAAGTGGAGCCAAATCTCCTCCCATCAAACTACTCTAAAGAAATGATGCCCATTCCCACCCCAGGCCATGTGGCCCTCACACTCACTTTTCCCTTGCTGGGGGAAGTTCATGGGAGACCCGTTAGTGTAGAGGCCCTCCCCTGAGGAAGGAGAGGGTTTCAGTCCTGAGGCAGCAGGTGCAGGGGGAAGGCCAGTAAAGTTAAAATGGTCGTTTGCCTCCATTTCTGTAGGAGGGGAAAGAAAGGGGGAAAAAATACTGGCGGTTAAACAAGGTTATGTCATCTGGAATCTTCCAGAGGGAATACCCCCCTTCCCTCCCTTTTTTCTTCTCTTGAGAAAAGGAGGAAATATACCCCTAACCTGGGCAATGACCCTATTCAAACAGTCTTTTAAAATCAGCTTTATAGTGATTAAAAAAAAAAAAAGTTCATGAAAACAAAACAAAACAAGACACAAGTCTATAAAGGAGTCTGCCCCACCCTCTTAACTCCCAGCCCAGGCTACTCTAACCCTCTGTTAGATGTTATTGGCCCTTGATTGTAACATTTAGCATTCTCTATTGTTGTTTTATACTCAAGGTAAGACCAGAGTCCCATTCCCAGGGTCCACAAAAATGTTCTCAAAATCATCTTTTTGACGGGAAGCCACAGAAATGGGGGTGTTGGCAGGAAAAGCATATTTAATATGCATGTTTTATTATACCTGAACTAAAAGTGTCTATGTTACCCTATCCATACTTCTAGATATCCTAAGTACAGTTACATGAGTAAAGGGATTTGAAAAAGAGGCTACATTTCAGAAAAAGTGACCATATGGCAAAATTGAAATCATCCAGGGATATTCTACTACTTTTTTTTTTTTTTTTTTTTTTTTGGCAGTGCTAGAGATCAAACCCAGGGTCTCAAACATGCTAGGCAAGTGGTCTACCACTGAACTTCACCTACAATCTCAATATTCTATTTCTTATTTGTGGGAAATACCAGGCTCTCCAAGAATCTAGGTTAAATAAATGTCAGTGTTGAAAAATTGATTAAATGAGAGTGTTCCAAAGAATATTGTTATGTCTACCGTGGTTAATTCCTAATGTTTTTGTTTCATGGCCTAAACATACAGGGTCATAAAGAGAACAAAAGATGCTTATGATTGCAGAGGTTCAATGAGGGGCAGTAAGGCTAAGAAGCTATTCTCTTTTTCCTGAATATGATGTGATATAGTACTATGGAATGATGAGAAATGAAACCCTTGATCAGAATAAATTTAACTTTGAAAGAGCAAAGAGAAGAAGAAAGATAGGAGGCAGAAGCCAGAATTTTTGGCAAAGTCTGATACATCAGATACTTGCGATATACTAGTACATATTAATGATATGTGAGAATCTGTCTTGATACACAAACAGCACCTCCTTGGATTATAGTATTTTTTTGTGTGTGTGGCACTAGAGATTGAACCCAATGAGCTACAACTCTAAGTTGAGGTTGGCCTCAAACTTGTGATCCTTCTGCTTAGCCTCCCCAGTCCTAAAATTATAGGTCTGCACCAGAGTCTGTGCCTGGGGGATTACGTTACTATATTCTCAAGGGCAGAAGAATTCACACAGAAAAGTTTCTTTTCCAGTTCCCAAGATGAAGCATAAKAAGACCTAGGTGATGTATGAATTAACCATTTGAAAGGGAGAATAAATTGGTTAAGAACTATTTGGCCACGGGCTGGGGATGTAACTCAATTTAAAAAAAACAAAAACAACAACTATATGGCCACTAGCCAACATTTGTAAGAGTTATGCTCATGAGTATACCACAAACTGCAAATGAGACCTCATTAGGTAAATTATATATACAATATATACAATTCTGAACATGAAATATAACTAATTCTGAACATGAAATATAACTAATATAACTAATATATACAATTCTGAACATGAAATATAACATGGCATTATAACTAAGGTTTTCCAAATGAATATCACAATTATCTCTACCTTAACCAATTAACTAAAACAAGAAGTAAAAATAAAAGTTTGTGTTTTGTTGAATTAAGGAGAAAAACCTTAGGACTCACTTATTTTCCGTATAGGATTTTCTATTTCTATTCTAAAGTAAGTATCAGGCCTCAAATTGCTGTGCATAGATGAATAAACCAAGTGTCTAGAGAAAAGACCTCATGGTCCTTCAGAATTCCCCTATTTTATTGTTAAATACTACTCCTTATCTGTAGAGGGTCTGAAAAATAACCATCATAAGATTAATAACCTTCTGAAGAAAGGTCATTCCTTAATCTACAGGTTAAGCTTGCTTAACCCACAGAGCAAAGAGGAAATTTGGTAGTTCATTTCAGATATCCTGGAAATGCTATGCCTGGAGAGTCAATTTCATTTGGTTCTCTCCCCAGCTTCACCTCTCCTTTTCTCCAGTTTTATGCACAGCCACATCTTCCCTGCTCTGTGAGGGGACAGGGACGGACGGACGGACACATACACACACACACACACACACACACACACACTTTTTCTTCCTTTGTACTCTGAACTACACCTTCTCACTCAATGATGGACCACAGTTAATTTTTCCATTCTCTATTTGAATCCATGAGAAAACTAATGACCTCTTCGCTGCTCAGTGAAAGCATGGTATATCCTGTTTTATGAAATAAATACTGTACTTCACACAATAAGTGGATGGCTCACAGAAACCAGAGAATTAAAAGGAATGGGAAGTTATCTGGTACCTGAGGTCTGCTTCCACACCTGTTCTAGTAAAGGGTCAGAAATACCACAATCATTTCACTTACAAGCCTTCTAGACACACAAAATACTCAGTGTTGTTCAGTGAGGTCAGCACAATGTAGAAGGCTCTGGGTTCAAATACTAGCTCTACTATTTACCAACTTTTTGACTTGGATTTAAACTTGTTGAACCTCAGTTCATCATTAGCAAAAAATTCTGGCATGCACTTTCAGGACTTGTAAGGACATCTACATAAACATCCTAGCACAGAATTTTTGTCACCCAGCAAACAYTCAATAAATGTTAGCTATTATTATTAGACAAACAGTAACAAGAATGATCAGTTTTCAAAATGATAATCAGCTCTATAAGGTCTAAATACAATTTAAAACCACCACTAACACAGAAGATACAAAACCAGGGATGACCCAGTCAGATCTCCCTATATTCAACTTGACTCCTGATTTCAGTTATCACTTAAACATGGGATCCCAATATGTGAATACAATGAAAATGTAAACAGCTCCTTCCCACAATAAATCTAGGGTTATTTCATTCTAACCTTCCTACCCAAGATGCTTTACACAATAATGCCTTAAGATAAATTCTTTCAAACCAGAGCTAGTAAGAACAGTACTAGCTTTCCTTTGAACTAATAGAATTTAAGCTAAAAAGAAAGAAAGAAATCAGCCAGTGCTCAACCTCCAGAAAAGCAGACAGTTCTCATGATCAGGAAGCACAATCAGACAAGCACCCAGCCCAATCCCAGATGTACATAAATGGATGTCTTAAGAGCTCTTGTGTTGGTATAGGGGTGTAGCTCAGTGGTAGAGTGTTTGCCTAGCTGGGTTCAACTCCCAACACAGTAAGGAGGAGGAAAAAAAGCTGTGTTTCATYTGTTTTTTAATTGTCGTTGCTGTCTTTTCCTTTTGCAGTACCGGGAATTGAACACATGGGTTCTCTACCACTAAATTACATTTCATTTGAGAATTAAGTCATACTGCCTCTTAAATTTTAAGCAGTAAGACATGGCCAAGCTGGCTGCTTTTCTCAACTACAATAAGAGTTTCTACTCTGTGGGACTATGACATGGTTTTAACAGAGAAAGGCTGACAATGCACAAAGTATTGAAATAAATATTAATGTATTTCAGCACTGTTGCAGGTATCCTATCTGACCAATTCTAACCCTTAGGCCTCTGAGGCTACTACCCACTGCCCCCCCCCCCGCCCTGCCTCCCCAAAAACCCCCACAGGGTCACAAGATACATCAACACTCAACACCCTCGAGCTGTAGACTTAGGTAATTTAATTCCTGCAGCTCTTAAAAAAAAATCCTTCCTTGCGCATTACACCAAAATTTCACAAATGGGAGATTTCTATTAGGGTGTAGGGACTGAGACCTGATTGAAACCCTGCTTTAATACAAAAAACTTCCTAAACTCCAGGGAAGTTCTAAGCTTTCAAGTTCCTGACTACAAATAGCAATATCTGCCTTTTGTATCTAAAAACCTCTTTTCCTTAACTAAGTCACCATCTTCCTCCACCAATAGAGTTCTAAGTGCAGAGCTTCAAAACTGACATGCCCTCTTCTCAAGTCAGGACAGCCCATCTGACAACACCGGTTAATGAGCTTCCTTTGGAATTCTGACTCAGACACACTATTATGCATCAACTGAGGCTCATTCTCTTTCAAAATGTCCTTTCCTTAACCCTCTTTCCTAGTTAGAACTCTATGTGAGGCTAAAGGWAGATGACGAAAGGAAGATTATATTGGAGGCAGCAGGGGGACTCACAGAAAACTGCCATGTCCAGGCTGCTTAAGACAATACAAAGATAACTTGTTCTCTGTCCTTACTTCTTAACTATGTAGGTTCTACAGCATCAACTGGATATTAAGTTCCACTATTATTATTTCTAGCAACTAATTTAATGCTAAACACAAGAATCAAGTTTTTGTTGAACCCATAAACCAAACAAATAGATGAGTAAGTCTACTCTCCTCCTCTGACTACCAGCTTACTATCAAAGAAAGGTTGTGGGCTTTACACCTATTTTTCAGAGAACCAAAAAAATTCAGTTTCATTCTATGTTCATAAATATAAAAATCTCTARAGGAAAGAAAAGACTCAGATCTTGACATGATTTTTAGATAGCTATCCCCTATAAGCCTGGGGAACAGRGAAGAAGTGAGAATGTAAAAAGTCAATAAATCCAAGTTCTAAATTAAATATTCTAACAGGTTTAACTGAATACTCAAGGTACCACAGATTTGAAAACATTTAACTAAATAAAGGAACCTAGGTTAGGTTTTCTGTTAGCTTTGGTCATTTCATTATCAGAAAACTAGAATTGTCCCTGAAATTGCAGGACACTAGAAGCAAAGTCCAGAGTTTTATAACAAGTATTTTCGCTTTTAGGTCTGATTGTTTTTCAGAATTTCAACAATCAAGGGCTCCAACTCTTCCTCCAGCAAGATGGTTCCCTCCCAAAAATAAGC